GAACTTATATTTATCTGTTTAAGTCCAGCGACATGTCATAGTTCTTCAAATAATCCAAATTTTCAATGAAGCTCATAAAAAAGGGGGGCTAAAATTCGTAATATAAGCACTTTAATATTGTTTATCAGTCATATGATACCGCAAATTCATGCAAAATACGATTAGGCAATGCATTCCCTGATTCCAAATATATTGTCGAAAATCGTAAATCACTTACATTATAGCTCGCACTTTGCCCTATAATTTTCATAAGTTACAATAGTTATATGTTTGTATACAGAATTATAATCTGTTGCATCTTCCTTTCTTTACACTTCGCGACTTGAGGGCACATTGAGCGAAGTTGAGGCACAAAGGCAAACACAAACATTTGTAATGAAATAAATTATTCTCTATAAAGAAACAAAACCAAATAATTGTATATTTTGCACCTCATTGCGTGTTGCTCAAGCTAGAGCACGTGTCGATTTCTATGCCTGCATTCTGATACAAAAATGTAAAAAAACATTTCGACAGCTCAAAACTCAAGCAACACCCTAAAAATCACCCTTAGAGATCGGCAACTACCTTTTTGTCTTAGGTGGGGGTAATGGTATAGATGGCACGCTAATGAATGCTTGTTTTTTGTAAATGGACGTCGTTGCTCTGTCTGCTTTCCGTAAAGCAATTCATTCTTGACATTTTTGTCCGTATACCGGCAAACGGCGTGAATTTGGCGGGATAGACACATTTTTGGTCAAATAAAATGAATGACGGAGCAATGGGAGATATACTGAGGGAGGCCTTCTTTGTTTTTCTACAACTCGAGATGAAATGTATTAGATACAGTTGTACGCATATTTTTCTCAATAGACTTATCAATATTCATGTCTACGTTTTCTGCCATAGTATCACGACTATCCCTGTCTCCTTCCCATGATGCACCTTTTGAAGAGACCGACCAAATAATCGGCAGGGTCGATTACATGCTCGTTTACATGTTTCGATGCGCTATCTGAGGATTTACCTACGAGATCACCAACGTTGCTTACGTGGCTTCGCTTGTGATGGGCCTCTTCTTCCTCTTCCTCCTGCAGCGGAAGTAGTTTGTCTCTCTTTTGGCGCTCTTTTTTCAAATGTTCTTTCCACTTGTTGCGTCGCGCACGAAATACAACAAAATGTGGTTAATAGCTGGTGGGATAACACGCAAATTTTGCTACTTGCTCGTATTTTCATGGGACGAGAACACAACAACAGCTTGTTGCTGCATTTTCCGCGTCCTGTTATATTCTTTCTCTAAATCAGACACGCCAACCAAGGAACTGGGTTGATTCACTGAGCCGCTAAAGTCTTTTCCAAAAGTATATCCCCCAGTTTGATGGACCTTGTTTGCCCTTCCTTCTTGGGATGAATGGGGAGAAAGAAGACCAAGAGAGCCAACGTTCATTTGGTTGACCTCATCATCTTCATCATCGCTCGATGCGTAACCATCTTTCGTTTTTATTTTGGACTTTATATCAAGCGATTGGTTCGCCAGTGGACGAATGTTGTACATGTATTTTTCACGGAGTTCAACATTTTGGGGTATAGAAACGGCGCTATATTATAGACCATCTACAAAAAATGCAAAAAAGGAAGATAACTGTTAGGCCTTTGCTATCAATTAATTTTTGTATTAACTATACGGTATACATATTAGTTGCGATATGTGAATGTTTTGTACAATGAACATCAAAAACAGTACAGTTAGCTGAAAAACAGTCCTGCAGATTTAAAGAATATACGTCAACCAAGTTGCAAAGTGCGCTTTTGTTTATGGTTCACATCGTTACCATTTTTTGGTGCTGATAGAAAACATTATAGATGCAGCACTAACTACACGTTTCTTTTCATTCAAAATTTGAAGTAAATAAGAAGCAAATTGACTGTGTGTCTGCTCTGCCATTCCAAGTCTTTTTGTCTTCACCACTCCTTATAATAGTACATACATCCGTAAACTGATGTTCAATCTGATGTTCAATCTGATGTTCAATCTGGTGTAGTTGAACATCAAGTTTCCGCCTTCCACGCTTAGGCCAAGACGTCATTTAAAGCACAAGTTTTTAAAATTACTTAAAACTCTAATTTACAGTTGTTATTATTGTTGGTCTATATTGCATCATTGAACTAAAATACATGGAACGCTACCTGTAATACAAAACCCTAATAATTTTTTGAAGTCGTGATTTTACCCCAGACGCGTGTGTAGTCAATAACTTATTACTCCGCGAGAGAAGCACGAAACACGACACACGCGTGTCTGGGGTAAAATTTCGCGTATTTGATGTAAGATTTGGCTTCAATTATTTGCTTCAGGGAGCGATCCATTTATCTTAGTTCAATGTGTTGCCTGGGCTGCAATAACAAAATCCGCCATTTTATCGAGCCACAAAATGGCCGTCACGCTGTGATTAACTCACAATGCATCTTGGTTGACACACATTTTTTAAGGATGACGACTTTAACATTGAAAATGCTACAAAATATCAACCATAAAGTATTATAAGCTGGTCTCTGTATTATTAGCCGTTTTCAACAGCACAAAAGGGAATAATTGTTTTTCAAACTATACTCGCCTATACACTATATCAACCAGGAATTGGGTAGAGTAAGTTATGAAATAATTATTACAATATTAATTCATTCGAATAAGAAAAGAATAAAATAACATAATCAAATAATTTCATCATGGTGCATCTTTGCATAAAAAGATTAAGGACGTCGTTTTCGAAGTTTATAAGCCGTGTTAGGAAGAAATTACAATGATACCAGAATTTTCAGAGTTGTTGGTTGGCACGAGTAACCTTTGTCAATTTGTTTTCAATCCAAACCAGTAAATCAGGGCCCTTGCCGAACGAAAAAATGAAATGCATCCTCTACAAACCAAATTGAATTGATTTAAAATATAAAGCCAACGAAACAGCTTATTGTGCCATTACCAATCACAAACTAAAGAGGTGAGTTGCTATCTGGACGGGCTGTTAGAAAAGTTACGGCACATATGTAGATCAGAAAAAACAGCTACAGCCGACTTTGGAACTGATTATCAGAACTACCCAGAAATAGTAATAGAGAAAGATACAGGTTTGACCACTCGTGAAAACGTAATGTGATTTGCATGATCCGAATAAAAGATGCATTATGATACGAAATGTGCATCGTGTAAATTTGAAATGAGAACTAAACATATCTGACGACATATTCACTCGAGCTAAGTGACACCTTGTTTTTTTCACTCAGCAAGAAAAAAGGAACGCCAGTTTGCTCTTCACTGAAACAGTCCCTCTTTGAATGCTATTAGGCAAACAAAAATAGGTCGTTAAAATGCTCTCAGCTCTTTCAAGATTACGTCAAATGTTTGAAGAGGCGCGACAGGTATTTCGCCGTTTCTAACTGAGTCCGTGAACGAGCCACCAGTCAACCATTGGGATGGACTGGAGAGTAGGGCTCACTCCAATTGTATAAAAACCTTCTTTTATGAACAGTGGGAGTTATTAATAATTGACTTTTACTTTACTTTCACCACAAAAAAACACCGGAAATAACATTGACGAACCCTACATTTTAAATTTCTTTTAAGAGCATGGCTCCGTTGCACTTCCACAAACCTTTTAACATTCTCACCTCCCCAACAACAGATGTTAGCAACAAGAAGCTGTCATCTGTTATTCAATATTTTGGGATCGTATTGACACAATAAGCATTACCAAGCCAACATTTTCCGTAAGACTTCACACATCTTCACGTTCTATGACAGTCAAAATTCAGTAACGTTGAATTGATTTGCACTTCCAATGATCTGTTTCAAAAACTGGTTCAAACAGTTTGAATTGGAATGTTTTTTTAACTTTTTCAGTCGATGGCAAAAAGAGTTTCGTAGTAACAAAGAACACTATCTTTCTGTTGATATCTCTAGAGTTATCATGTAACATGGAATTGTGATCTACATGGAGTGTATCTGTATGCTTTCTTTGAAAACCAAGAAAGTGAGTCGTTTCTATCAATAAAACGATTTAACGTTTCATTTATGATCGCTTTTCGAACGTTACCAGCAGACACACCGTAAAATTTTCTGATCACGTTCAGACGCGCACCAGCTTTTTCTCAGTTTAATATAAAACAAATTCCGAAGAAGCAAGACATCTTGAGATTGCAAAATATAAATCAAAACAAGACGAGAAGTAAACTGTAAATTTTCGACTTTATTTCAAAGTCATCCTCAGATAGAATGAGACAGACCTTACTTCTTTACTACCGACCATTATACTTCTTTAAATTGTCGGCTGGTCATGGTTTTTACTCAGTTTGTGATGCATATTGTTGGTTTTTTTTATGAAAGTCTGGAATCATTTTCTTGAGAATTTTTTAAACAACAGAATTATCGCCATGGTATTATCACTATAATACTTCTATGGATAGAGTTTAACAAATTTAACAATTCAAAACAATATTCGGTTTCGGTATTTACTGTTATCATGCAATACAGGTATCATGCATTCACTTTCAAAAAATTCTGCCAGGCGCAAAAGAAAAGAATGTACGGATTAACGTTCTCATTATGCCCCTGACTGATAGTCATATTGACGTACTTCATGTATGGCCAAAGTTTTTGAGCGAGATACTTTTGCTTGTATATTCACGTGTTATTTACCCTGTGCTGCTCTATGATTGGAGATCCGCCATTTTCGGTTGTCTTGAATGGCCAACAAGGCGCGAAAAGCGTTACCCTAAACTCATTCTATAAAACAAGATTTCCGATGGTTGGCTTACGAAACGAGATCAACCGAATATTTACTTTTAGGCACTACAAACTTATTTTTGAATCCATACAATTTTTGCGTATTTGCAAGAGAAACAATTACTGCCACGTCAAAAAATTAAACGATTTCCGCGAAGGATTCTTATAAAATAAGATGCCGCCAGTGTTTTTATAACGCGGTAGAGTCGTCAATGTTCTTTGAAGTTATTTCAGAGTGACAAAGTTAAGTACGACTGTATATTACGTAAATCGATCTATAATATGTACATATATTAAATAAATGATCTATTGTGCATTTGCCTGTTGTTCAATCTAGTTCACGACGCCCATAATTTGTAGAGGCAAAGTAGATAATTGCACCGTAGTGATAATTGTAACAAAAATAAGTAAAATATAAAAATCGAGCGTTACTAAAAATGCTACAGGATGCTCAACATAACACATACACATACGCACTTATCGTCTTCTTCAAACCGAATTACTGCGGTGTGCAGTTATTGGGGTCGTGCTTTGGAAAATTCGGACCTCTCTTTCCTTGTGAACCAAACCCTCGTGCTGGTCTAGAAACGGGGTTGCTGGATCGCAAAGCTGATCTGTCTTTTGCGATAGCCTGTATCCCATCTGATCTATTGCGGTCTACCCGTGGCTCCAACCCGATCATTTTATTGTTTGTTTTCATTCGACTGGGAAGCGGCCCGGCTAATTTTGATCCCGCCTTCAATAACGATTCCGTTGGTCGGAAAGCAGATTTTTCCCCCGGATAGAGAAACGGCTTTCCTTGTAACGAATTTTCATTTTCATTCCATTTTTGTTGTTTGAAGTTATCAGAATTCATTTCACGCGACTTTGTTGACGTTTGACTGGCTACAATAAAATAATCTTTCTCGCTTTTTTTACGCTTCATTTGCCCGAAGGCGGGTTGCTGTCCATTATCCGTCGCAACGTCAATACTCGACTCATGTTTAGCTTCTACATCAACCTTTTCTGGCTTTTGGATATTTTCAGCCATCATGACTTTCAAAAGTTTACACTCGATCTCGTGATTCTTTTTCCTGAATGAAGGTAAGACAAATTGATAAACTTTGTTGTGTCCGACAAACAATTTTAACATCCCGCACAAAGATATGGGTCAGTGATAAATATATGTTAAAAACACATAACCAAATACCAAAAATTGGAAAGTAGTCTTGGGTAACTGGCTTATGAACGGTATCAAACTTTGCAAGGGAGAGATGAAAGGTGAGAATTTATTCCAGCTTTTTAGTACGGATACTTTATCAAAGTTTTGACTCTATATGTCACAATTCTGACAACGACCTTGGCGCAAGGCATAAAATTAACTGGAAGTTTTGTAACGGAACACAAAACATGACATAAAGAATCCGTGTTTGGTCATGTGACCTGTATCCAAAACAAGGAAATGAACGCTCTACAAATCTGCCGTGTTGAAAAGCGGTATGTAACTTTCTTGGCAACATAAGAGAAACAATTTTCGTACGGACTAAAAGGCCGATGATGTCGTACCCAAACCCTCATGTCTAACTACCGAGTCAAGGTGAGACCAGCATGAACAGTGGCAAAAAACGAGACTCTGATTAAAATTAAGTTAAAACAGCGTAAAACAGCAATCCAATCCAAACATTCGAAAACCAAACGTAGACTATCACCTCTGCAACTCAGTGAATTAGCTAGATCGATAAGCGAGAGAGTCATGATTCGTACATGCATGTTTTGTCGCATCAATTTTCCATTGAAATCAACCTTTTCGTGGGGAATAAAACATACAGGCGTAAAAATCAGTTTTAGACAAATCCCAACGGTGAATTCACTTGGGAGCTTATGCTGTACATTGCTATTTCACGTACTGTTAAATAAAAACGTGTAATGGCATGAAAAATTGAAAAAAGAGTATTTTGCAAACGATGTCAATGTGTTTGATCAATAACATCATTCTCGATATTATCATTCCTTGCGTAACTAACAGTAAAACATTTAAAACGTTTATTCATTTACTTCACATTGGCATTCTCATTCGTCAAACTCTCCACTTTCTTTTGTGCGTTGGCCAATTCAGCCTCGATCTTTTTCTTTTCAGCATTCATTCTTTCCAGTCGAGCGCTTAGTGAAAATACAGCAACGCTGCCAACAACACCCACGGGCTCACCGTTGGATGAACTAGAAAACAAAAAATGGGGGAAAACTTTTGGGATTCGATTTGGAAATGGAGCAAAAAATAGAGCATTTGAGAAAGATTTCAATATGAAACTGTGTAAAAATGTGGCTCACATAATGTTTATTTGCGTTTTGCTGGCAGTAGGGCTGTGCAAACTACGGTTTTTCATCTCCGGCTCCGGCCTCTTGTCAAATCTCGAATCACTGGTTGGTGACTAGTTAATTTTGCAAGTCACTGTTCAACAGTTTATAGTGCTTATGCATCGAGTTTTGACCCCCTAACTTTTTGGCCAAATAAAAAGAAGTAGCCTCACTTTATATTTGAAATCAAAAATAAAATTGAACTTTTCTATCCAAAGCCATGATCGTCAAAAGTTGTCATTTTTGAAACTTGCTGTGCGAACTTTTAATAATAAGTGTCATAAGTGAAACACACTTCTATCATGGCGTGTAGAATTTATAGTAAAATCTCCATCGAGAATAATAACCTTCTCCTGGCGGATAAAACTAGTCGAATTTCACCATTTCTGTGAGAAATGAAAATTAAGATCTTTGTATATATTTCCTAAAGAAGAATAGACTCTCAAAGGCAAAGAATAGGTTGATTTTGTTCGACAACGTTTCACCCCTTCGTAGATATTTTTGTTCAGCGTATTTTGATGAGTCGTGTTTTGATCTATGTAAATGTTTGTTGGGCAAAGAAGCTCGAAACGAAAAGAATAAATATTTGATTCCCACAGTCATTTTGGCTGGAATCGGTCTTAGCGAAAACGGGAAATTGATTTAGCTGGACTGCGACGGGTTGGACTTGAATTCACAAGTATTTTAATAACAGAATTACAATTATTGTGGCAGAGAAGTCAAAAAATGAAGTCCTTTAACAAAATATGTGCTGGTTGAATATAATCAAAGCATCATTTTAAATTTTAGCTACCATGAGGAGATCAGTATGAACTATGAAATATTGTATGCATGGATAAAAACAAGTCTGACAGTTTTTTGATACATTGCCCATGAAAACGTTTTGAGGAATATTCTGGGTAATGAGTTTCTCTGTAACTTTGTTTGATATCAAAACAAACATTGTAATCATTAATATTTGAAGTAAATGAGTAGCACACAAACTAAATCAAAACTACTTTAAGCATATCTTAGTTGTTATATATTATTTATGTAGTAGAGCTGTTTTTGTTGTAGTAAGAAAACTAGAATGTAGAATGAATATTACTTATACACTCTCTTCAGATTAATCTTGGTTACTGATTAGTATTTGGTTATGTGGTGATTTAGTATAGATCTAGGGGTTTGTACAAATAAATAATTGACATTAAAAATTTAAACAGTACTATTGGTAACTTCTATTTTACAAAATATATTATTATCAAAACAAGAACTATGGAATGAGCTTTATGCAGGCTATAGCTATTAGATAAATTCTACATCTTACATATATTCTAGCCTAGTAATAACTTCAAGAGCCTGATTTATTTATCAGGATCGAGTTGAGAGGTACATAGTTTGTAAGAACAGTCATCATTATCTTTTAATAATGGCACTGTATTTTTTACACCTGTTCACATTGCATTAGTGAAATCTCCATCTTCTACATTATGTGTGTAGTTCAGTATTTTTCTAGTTTCTGCTCTCTAATGACATTGGATCACTTATGTGCTATTTCTGTGAAGCTATTAAAAGCATCCCAACAAAGCCCAAAAACTCAAACAAGATCGAGTTCAATGCGATTTTCCTTTAAGCAGTTAACATTAAAATCGTAAGATTAACAAGAAAAAAGACCAAAATAAATCGCATGGGTAAAGAATCATCATGCGCTTCTTGACTTGCAATTCAGCCATGTTAGTGGTCTGATACAAAAGAATATTTTATCAGAGTTATTGTTGGCACCAGCGGGCGTGTGCGAGCAACATTGTTTGGCAAATCTCAAGAGAATGGTTGCAAGTCAAGGATATTTTAAATCTAGACTGCTTCCACAACGGAGAATGTCTTCGACAAAATATCATTTATAAAAGATTATATTACTAGCCATCTGTTTCTAAAAAAGTTATTTTAGCATTTTGTAAAAAATAATTGAGAAGCAATCATTTTTCAAGCATAAAAAGAAAGAAAAACGAAGAAGAATGTGGCGTCGGCTATATAAATCCATAGTTGGTAAACAAAACGTGTTTCACTTATGACGTCATAACTTACTAACATGGCCACTTGAAAAGTTTGCACATTAGGTGCGTATTCAGCGGTAAAATTAACTAACTTCTACTCAACAGAAAATGCTTATTTATATGTCAAATTGATTCAAAAAGTGTGGATTTTTAGTTAAAGAGAAAAAAAGGGGTCAAAATTCATTGCATTAACACTTGAAGGTATATTATTAGTAAAATTTTTATATGTAAAGTTAACTTTCCGCTCTCCGACTTTAATTCATAAATTAGCATGTGTGAACGCAATCTAGCGTCATGTTGTGTTATGTATGAAATGTTTTATTTTCATGCATGTTTTTTTATTTTAGCCGATAGTTATCGTTTGTTGATACAAAAATGTTTTGATCAGACATGTTTACCAAAGTTTTACAGTATTTTCTAGCAGTGGCGGATCTAGGGTTAGTCAAAATAAATTACTGCTGCACATTTCGGAATATATTTATAATTCCAAGCCCTTCAGAGACAAGTCAATTGGTGAATGTATATTCTTTAGAAATTCAAAACCAATAGTGCTTTTCTGAAAGTACTTTGAATTTAAAATTAAGCAGCTTCAATTTATTTTGCTTGCTGCTGCTCGCTGTGACTACCCCTAGATCCGCTACTGTTTTGCAGCACAAACGATTGCTGCCGGAGTTTGCCGGAGAAGAAAAAAATCTGGCTCTAGAAGGCAAAAATAGCCGGAGCTCCGGCCTAACTCCGGTGCACAGCACTAGCTGACAGGTAGATTTATCCCAAGACAGGTTGACAATAGTTGGCTGATGTTGTCTAAAAGCACTCCCTTGACCAAGTCTTCATGCCAGCAAAACGTAAACAAGGCAAGTCGTCAATCTATTAAACGCTTGGAAATGCATTATAAATGAGAGGGAAGGAAAAAACTCAAGTGGAAGTTTTTTTATCAAAATTTCCTTGTAGCATCCACGTTTTTTTTTGACAACAGGTTCCAGACCCTTTTCCGCAACCGGTAATTTAATAGAACTCAAACGACCCGTCTCATATGAACAGGCCTTTAAAAGGTAGAAAAAAGAAGTGATCTCTTCATTTATCTCCCTCTTTAATAAATTAAAAAATCACCGGGAAGTTGATAAAATCATCTAAATGAATTTATAACAAACTAATTAAGCTCTATTCATTGATACTAGCGTTAATAAATTTGAGTTTACTAATGTAAAAAATCTTTTTAAATTCAAGCAATTGTTGAGTATAATAGTATTCATTGGCAACTTTTCTAAAAGTTTATGTACCCCCCCCCCTCGTTAAAGCCTCATCCTCAAATTATCTCCCACTTTATGGGAAGTAAAAAAATCCCGGGAGCTAAATAGAGGAAAAACGGTATGAATAAATGTGCGATAACTTACCTGGCTGGTTCACCATGCATTAAATCAAAAGTAGATTCGTGATCGCGATTTTTTAGAGCCCTTATCTCAGCTTTGAGCTCGCTGCTCTGTCTGGCAAACATACCAAGGTCTTTTTCCAAAGCACGTATCTTTTTCACGGCGATGTCAAGATGCATCGTCTTTTCTCTATCGGCGTTGAGCAACTCCAACTCCCTTTCTTGAAACGATTTGTTAGTTTTCTCGAGCTCTCCGATTGCACGGCGATAACGTTCCACATCGCTTTCCAAAGCGTCGATTTTCGCGCGCAGTATTTCAATCTCACTGGTTTTATCTACAGCGACTATCGTAGTTGCAGGATTGCCGTCTGTGTTATCAAGCGAAGTCTTAAGTTCTTCGTGTTCATCTTGTAGATCACGGAACTCAAACTTCAAATCTTGTAATTCGTCTAAAAATTAGTCATATCATTAACAGAGTTTATAGCCAGCATAACAAATGAACGAGTTTCGTGAAAGTCTTTAATGATATTCATTAATCTCGTTTATAAGTCTTCGTTTGAAACATGCGTAACATCTAGTGATGGAGCTAGTGTAAGTTAAATTAAATTATAGTTGGTCAATTTTGAATTGGATAAACCTTCTGAACAAAACAAATGGTTATGAGTTTTTAAAGATTATGAATAAAAACAATAAAACGCGTGCGGCGATTGGTCTATAGCTGTGTTTACACTTTTCATTAGCCTCTGCAAACCGATTTGAGCTCAACCATCAAATCAATCAAGCAAAGAGAATTTCCAAATCGACCATGAATACATATTAGAAGAAATATTAAACATTTCTTTTAAATTTGTTAATCTTGCATTATTGCTATTTCATAAAAGACACGAAAGAAATTTTTCGTGTTTGCACTGGCTTATGCTAACCTCGGAGACATTGTGAGAACTCTCGAGTGGGGAAAACTTGCGATGATCTGCTCTGTTGTTCTCCCAAAGGTCGCCTCGGTTTGAATGAGCCTGTGCAAACCTAGTAAACACATTTTATTTCTTAAATAAAATTTTATAAATTAAACTGCCTCTAACGAATTTGTAAATGGAAATACATTGAAATTTATTTCGAAAACTGGCAACACCAATATTTTTATGAGTTGCTCGTTGCATCATTTGTTCCATCAGTAAAAGGAAGCGAAAAACCCTTGTGAACGAAATAATTATTGCACCGCAAGTAGCAAAATTTCAAAACACGTGTATCTATGTCTGAACAGACAATGGTTAAGTGTAGTCTATTTGTTTTACGCAAAATCGAAGGAATTCAGGCAAACAGTTGTATTTTGTTTCCTTCGACGTTGGCAAAGCGGTTTTTTCCTTTTCTTTTTGTTCAAATACGTCAACCGCCTCAAGTATGTTTATTTTCAAGAACTTCATTTATCCAGGGATAAATTCTCGTATAATTATTCGTATAATAATATACTTTGAGATATTTCTCGACTGTGATTGGATGATGGCAGTGCAGTTTATCTGCAATTGCACTGTTAAAATTAGTAATTGCACTGCTGAAAATCTCTAATTGCACTGTGAGTTCTGTTTCCTGTTTGGCTGAAGAGCTGTGAAAGCCAAACATACTTAGTTTTGATTAAAAAGACATGGTGCAAATTGTAAGTAAACAAGGCTTTCCACATTGCAATCGTTTGAAATTAAAGAATTGCAAAAGAATGCAAAGAATAAAAACAAAACAGCAAGTACTGTTTTTTTTTTGGTGAACATTCCGTGCCTCTTTCGTAGACAAAATAAAATTAATGCTTAAACTCTTGACGTTGTCCTACAATATGCTGAAACACAATATGTTTTTGGATTATACCTTCGCATTCTCTTAAACACATATTTAGTTTGTAATTTTCTTTCTTCAGTTTGGAAATTATCTTAGACTGTTTGACAACTTCATTATTCAGCTCGGCGATTCTTGCATTTCCTTCGTCAATTTGCAGACGGTATTTTTCTTCAAGCTCTTCCTCCCTATCTCGTTGCAGTTGAAGACATTTCGCCACCGAGTCGTCAACAGCAGTGGCAGATTTTTTTAACTGCATTTTAAGTTCTTTGGTCTCGTCTTCAAAAACTGCGCATTTCATCTTCAAATCTTGTATCACGTCTGCATGATGAACACAAAATTAATCGAATTAATTTTTTTCAACTCAAGAACGTTCAGTAATTTACGTTTCTAGTTACGTAATTTGAATGCTTTGATGACGTAATTCTAACGCTTGAAGGACTGTATTTTGACTAATGAGATAAATAACCGCTGATGGAGCTTCAAACATATGAAAGTTGGGAAAAAATAAAAACAGAGACTTACCTTCGAATTCCTTTAAACCAGTGTTCAGTTTTTGATTTTCGTTGTTCAGTTTTATATTTTCGTTGTTCAGTTTTAGATTTTCGCAGTTCAGTTTTTCATTTTCTCGGCGTTTCTGTTCAAGTAGAGCAATCTCTTTTGTCAATTTCTCTTCACTGGCACGCAAATGTGCATTTTCACATATCACTTTTTCATAGTCGATGACATCAGATAACGAAAGACGACGTTTTTCATCACTGACTAAAGTTCAAAGAAACATAAAAGGACGTTTGATCTTTGACGATTGAAGAAAGTCAATGCAGTCGATTTATTAGATGAAAAACTATGCAAAATGAAAAATTCATATGGACTTCGCTGTGCGCATGCCTTATTATGTTGTTACCCGAAGGAAAATGATAATTACGTTGCACATAAGATACTTTTACATAGCTTTCTCTACCATGCTTTTCCTTCAGGTTTCTAATGCCAATCACTATGTCAATCACTATATTTTTTGTAAAAGTGGAAAGGCGAAATTAAATTTCGACTTAAATTCAACGACATTAAGGTTTTGTACAAACTATGACATACAATCACGGCGGGTCATACCTTTTTGTTTAAAACAGGTTATTTGATCATTGGAATCAGCTAGGATTAATTCATATTTTTTGATCAAGTCAGCATTTTCCGTTTCCAGTCGAGCAATAGCTTCGTCCTTTGCGAGTATTTCTATCTCCTTTTCGTCCAAAACGAACTGCTTTTGCTCCAATACATCTTGATCAGCGATCAACGCATGTCTTAACTCCTCCACAAGCTTATCCTGAATAAACAAATATAAGCATCTCAGATGTATGTATCCACTCGTGTTCACCGAGGTAAAAGCCGAGATCTAGACAATGTTCTTCCATTGTCTCCGTTTAGATGTTAATATACTCATTGGCCGTTTTTATGCTTAAAACTGTTAATAGACGTCAGGACAGATGATATGTCCAGTTATGTCAACTGTCAAGAATGAAGAAGGTTCGACTCGTCTTGTGACCGTTATCGTTCCGACAAGTTTAAGCCGCGCACCAAAGAAATCCGTCTTACGTCGTCCGTCTTAAGACGCATGATATTAACTGTCTTAAGCATAAAAACGGCCATTGATTTCTCTCGTGTTGTATGCACTGTTGACCGGATGTTAGTAGTATTTCTGCAGCGTAAAGATAAGATCTCAATGTATTGTTCCTGTTGGAAAACTCCTCTCCGCTTTCCAGTTGCTGGTTCAATAACACTCTGGAGACTGTATCTTTCAACAATTTTATTGGACATACTCACAACTCTCACTCAAAAACTCTCTAATTAATTACATGTATTTATACTGATTGCTTCGGGCAAACTTCACAGCACTCCATTCATTAGGAACTAAGCTTGTGGATCTTAAGGAAATTATGAGTACATACTACACCTACCGGGACATACACCTAAAATAGCTGCACGTAAATCTGTTCTTTTCAATGGTTTTAATTTACATATTTTCTTTCCAAGTCATGTAATCTGAATAACCCCAACCCTATCTGTATTCAAAAAGAATTCCTTAACAGTTACTCTTTCAAAAAGGTAGCCCCCAGTCTCCAAGATGTTGTTTGGTAAAAGAAGATCCTGATTCCCGGAATCTGCGTTTTGTTGCACAGCACCCTTCGACATCTTGGTCTTCTTCGCAATTATATGCGCTGTGTCCAACCTTCATTACTCAGAGCAATTATTAAGCCCTTAATAACAGAGCGCGAGGTCTTTACGGAGAAATATTGGACCGAAGTTTTTCCGTACAGACCGAGCACGTAGGGCGCGGTTGGTACAAAAAGACAGAAGTCCCATATTTCTCAGTTAAGACTGAAAAAGCGAGGTTATTAAAAGGTTTATTATATGGCATTATTTGACCTGAAATGAAGCCTGCTTTCTTTCTCGTCCTTGCTGCTTCTTACCGGTTGGCTTTCACTTTTCTAATTTTCGTCCATAAAAAATGAATCGTTTCAAATTATATCGTCTGGATAGTTAAACTGTTTTCCAAGTGTTTTTCCTTCGAATCACATTCGTAAATGATTCTTTGTTTCGTTTATTTTGCGTTTTGCTGTTTGCATTACGAAGTTTGTTTACATTTGACTGTAAAATTACGCGTTTTGGACAGTGCTCGATTACGGGAAAATAATAAACCGGCAAAAATGTTTCTGAGCCAATCAAAGCATGCATTTTGCCGGAAGTGACGCTTGCCATGTAATAATTGACCTTTTATTTCTTCATTTTTCTCTTTTTATCATCTGTTTCACCGGAACGTGTGCAAGAAGTGATCTGGTTTGCTGCGGGATACTTTAACATCGTAAGGCAAATGACTAGACGGAATGTGAGCGTCATTACCAATATGCAATGTGAATATTCAAATCTCTTAAATTTATGAATTATTGTAAACTCAAACGAAATATTGATTGGACTAAGACTTTTTATCCACGTTAGAATGATATGAAATTTGAAGAATACAGAAACAAGCATGCAGCGGGTGTATGTTGGACGTTGAAAAAATGAGAAATCTAAGTGCCTGTATCAAAGAGGAATAAATGCAATTCAATCAATCTTTGACTAACAGAGTTATAGCAGTTTCAAAAGCAAAAGGAGATCATACAAAATTTTAGAATGATGTCAACTTGTTCTAAATCATATAAATTTAGTGCAAATACGTATTGCATGCCTTTATGTTGCTTTGGCAATGACAATGGGTTGAATACCAACCAAAGGTTGGACATTACCCACGACATACACAACGCAGACTTACAAACATTATGAAACGCTTCTGCACAGATATTGACATTCGACTAATTTTCAAATCATTCAAAATCGAAAACCTTTTCTCATTCACACCACTTTCATACAAAACCGGGCTTATACGCACACTAATCGACAGAGCATACAAACTTAACAATACGAACAATGGCTTTCAACGACACATAAAAAACATCACATCCACTCTTTTACGAAACTCTTTCCCACTTCACTTTATTAACAGAACCGTAAAACGATATCTCGACAACAAACATAGCCTCAACCTAGACACCGAAACTCCTGACACGACGATCACAACCAACACAAATGAAAATTCCAAAATAACAACTCTATACTTCAAACTACCATACATCGGACATTACTCACGACACACACAACGCAGACTTACAAACATTATGAAACGCTTCTGTACAAATATTGACATTCGACTAATTTTCACATCATTCAAAATCAAAAACCTTTTTTCATTTAAAGACCCAATCCCTGATTCAATTAAATCTATGGTGGTATATGAATTCAATTGCGCGGGATGTAATTCCCGATACATTGGTGAAACTTCGCGCCATTTATCCACCAGAATCAGTGAACATATCACAACAGACAAAAACTCTCATATCTACCGACACCTTCTTAAATCTCACTCATGTAAAACCAACTATTTACTTTCTTGCTTCAAAATCATCGACACTGCCGACACCTCATTCACCCTTAAAATCAAAGAAGCACTCCACATTAACAAAACTAACCCTGACCTCAATGTTCAACTTTTTAAATTCAATACAATATTTTGTTCATAATACGCTCGGACGCTCCCCATTAATTTATTTTATTTCCTTTTTATTGTTGTAATTTATTTATCATATTACTTTTATACAAACCTTGCATCACTTATTATTTCACTCATGCTGAAGATGGCATCATGAGATGTCGAAACATGTTTATTTTCAAAAAACTTGTCGTTTATATTAAATGTAAATTAGCAATAGTGCTTTTACGAAATTATAGCAAGGTCTTGCTATGTTTGCAGAAATAATTTAATTAGTGCTTCACACACTGTCAACGATAGCGTCAATTAAACATTTTTGTGAATACTTTGTGGTGATTTTGATTATTTCAAGCTTAAAATTCGGGATTGTTAGCGATACTACCAGCACAGAGGCCGTGTAAAGTCGTACTACTTGTAATACGACTGTTGAATTTAAATAGTTGAATTTTAAATAGGTAGATACGTTGTCAATTCGTCTTACTGAAGAAATAGAAATTGTTGCAACAATGGTACTACCATCGTATTTTAATAAGTAAAACAAATTAGGCACAAGAAAAAGACTCGTGGCAAAGAACAAATGTGGAAAACAACGGTTAACATGCAATAACATGGGTCACAAACCTTTGCAACATCGTCTGTTCCCATCTGTTCTTTGAAATCGACGAGTATCGCTTTGAATATTTCACTATCCCGTCGCTCGGTCCCAGCCTTATCAAGCGCGCGGCACATTGGACATGAAACCTGTGTAAGTGACGGTGATTTGAAATGAAATAAGTAAATGATACGAAACAGATAGAAATGTGAAAATTATTACAATGATCTCAAAAACGTTTTGACGCCTCACTATTTTTGTGGTTCAGACCACGCATCTCAGAGACGGATTCTGGATGATTTCATAGAAAAGGTACTCTGGTTTGACAATTCTGTTATTTTACAAGTGAATTCGATGGTTCCCTTCATTTACGAGGAAATCAGACAGGCTAACAAGATAAACTGAACTAGTAAAATGGTGGAAAAAAGGTTCATTTAATGTAAATGCCAAGGTTTTGAAAATAGACATGTTTCGACACGTCATGATGCTATCTTTAGTATGAGTGAAGAATTACATAAATAATACGAAGTTTATATCAATGTAAAACGATACAGTAATATAAATATATAAACATGGATAACTTATAACAATAATAAGGAAATGAGATAAATCAATGGGGAGCGCGTTACAAACTAAATATTGTGTTGAGTCTAAAAACTTGAACATTGAGGTCAGGGTTAGTTTTGTTAATGTGGAGTGCTTCTTTGATTCTAAGGGAGAAAGAGGTGTCTGCAGTGTGGATGATATTGAAGCAGGAGGGTGAATAGTTGGTTTTCCATGAATGAGATTTCAAAATGTGCCATTTATCCACCAGAATCAGGGAACATACCACAACAGACAAAAACTCTCATATCTACCGTTACCTTCCTAAATCTCCTTCATAAAACCAACTTTTAACCCTCTTGGTTCATAATTATCGACACCGTAGACACCTCATTTTCCCTTAAAATCGAAGAAGCACTCCACATTAACAAAACTAACCATGACCTCAATGTTCAAGTTTTTAGATTCAACACAATATTTAATTTGTGACACGCTCCCCATTAATTCATCTCATTTCCTTATTATTGTCATAATTTATCCATATTTATGTCACTGTATCATATTACTTTTATATAAACTTTGTATTATTTATGTAATTATTCACTCACACTGAACATGGTATCATGAGATGTCGAAACATGTCTGTTTTCAAAAAACTCGTCGTTTACATTACAATCAAACCGAATGTTGTGTTCCCCTGAACATTGTAACATACCGGTCAATTTAGCTGATTGGCTGATTCCAAACGCAACTAGCTCTAGCGAATTGCACCTTTCTTGCGCTGAAGTAGCTAAACATTCTCTTGTAGAAATAATGGAAAACAGGTTTCAGATAGTGTTACAGTAATTAAACGGACGCTATGCTTTTTTTTTACCGAGAAACCGTTTGCATTGTTTCATGAATTTATATGTAAGATAAAAGAAGCGATTCCTTACATTGAAAATTTACTGAAAGCAAAAATAAGAGTTGCATACAAAGACGTAAATCTTGTTTTGTTCATCGCTGTTCCTCCTAACGACAATCTGGTCATCTACGAGGCATTTCGAAATGCGTACGATTGTTGGGCGGAAGCATTCAAAAGAATCGAGCTCGAAGCTGCATTTTTTATAATTTTCGAGGCTGTTCTGTTTCATATTCCCAATTAGGAAGCAATGCTTTTGAATTTTTCGCCTTGCCCCGATAAATCAACAACACGTTCTCGATTTGTAAAAAAATTGTTTAATTGTGTTGTGTGAATTACATGATGAGAAGTATCAACAGTACAGCACGGGAAAAACTTCAAATTGCAATTGCGTTTGGAATAAGCCAATGAATATTGCTCAATTGACAGGTATGTTGCAATGTTCATTGGAACAAAACATCCGGTTTGACTGTAAATGCACATTAGCGATGGTGCTTTTACGAAATTATGGCAAAAAAAGTTCATGCATTATTACTTCATACCGGGAGGTCGTGCTAATTACTATCAAATATCTAGGTAATAGCAATCTTCGACGGGGGTACATACTGTCTGTGAGTGGTCTTTTGTTTTAAGTATTCTTGCTAATGTTTGCAAGCAAAAGTAATCAGAACAGGCAAAAAAAAAGCTAAACTGAAACCGCGACCGTACCTCTTTTGACTGAGTCTCCAAACTATCATTTTTCATCTCATTTTCATCAACAGCATGAGAAGTTTCTCGTTCATTCATTTCGTTCAACAGCTCCTTTTTTTGACGACTCAACACCAATTCTTTCTCGACATCACCCTTCTGCAAGGTTATGCTTTCCAAATCTTTTTTCAAGACAACAATCCGATTATTCAGCTCATCAACTTCAATTCTATGTTTGCTATTCATGCTTTCGACAACATCTTCATTTTTCGAACGCAACTCCTCCCTTACGCAAACTAATTCGTTTTGTACACGAAGCAACTCTACCTGAAGCTCATCCTTTTCCGCCAAGAGTGTATCCTTCTCGTCCGTCGCATCAGACTCACCAGCACTGCCAATTTCCGTCTTCAATTTTGATTCCAAATCAACTATACGTGACTTTTTTACCTTCAAATCGTCGTTCAAACATTCCATCACCGACTCCATTTGCGTGATTCGTTCATTCAACTTCACATTTTCATTTATAATATCCTCGTGCTTTTGGGTCTTCTCTGCAACACAGTCTTTAAGTTCGCAAATTTGCGACGTGTTTTCTTCGATCAATTTGTTCAGACGCATTCTTTCTCTCTCGTTACTCTCGTCTTCCTCTTGTTTGTCTTGTAATTTCAACAAAAGCGCGTTCACTTCATCTTGCTGAACACGACTCAACTCTTTTTCTTTCTCGTTCACTGCTTCGCGAATGAATTCGATCTGATTGTCAAACTCTTCTTTCAACCGTTGTTCGCTGAGTTCATGTTTTTTGATCAACTCCTTTTTTGATTCCACCAACGTTTCTAACTCCGCAGTCTGTTTTATAATTAAAGATGATTTCTCGTCTATGAGCGCATCCTTTTCTTTCAAATTTAACAGAAACGTCTCCTTCTCGTCTGAATAACTATCTGCAGTTTTTAAATTTTCTTCTAATCTTTGAAGTGCTTTGGTCTTCTCTTCTAAAGTTAGTTGCGCATCTTGTAAAGTTTTTTTTGTTTCCTTCAGCACTGCTGTGGTCTGCTCATAGTTTATAGTAGCTTTAAGTAAATCTTCCTCAAGTCTTACCCCACTAGATATACTAGATATAAGATCTTCGATGTCGGATTGCTTTTGAATAAGCTCCGTGGTCATTTCAGATAAATCGCTGCTTAAATTTTCCTTTTCTTTCAATTTCTTCCCGCATTCTGCTTCGAGTTTAAGCGCACGAGCTTCGCTGTCTTTCAACATGCATTCACTTAACGCTAACGTTTCCTTCAACAGACTCATCTCCGATTTACACGTTTGAATTTCGATTAAAAGTTTTTCATTTTCAATTATCATATTTTCCTTTTCCGAAATAACAGCTGCAAGACTGTCTTTTAAGACTTCAATTTCTTCGCCCATTTTTCTTTCAGTTACTTCACAGCGAATGTCACTTTTCTTCAGCAAATCTTCCACGTCTTCCTTAACAACATCTTTATCCAAACTACCAATTTCCTTTATTTGCAACTAGTTTTGACGGGTGGGAGAGGAAATGAAAGCAAAACGCTAAGATTATTTCATGTCAAAAACATTGTGGTTTTCGTACAAAATAGCATGAAGGCTTCTGCATTTATCATTGTATGATACAACAATTCTTGAATTCTGCTTTTGCATGATATCAAGAACTTTGCTTCAACAGATAACATTAACCTCGGGTCTGAGCAATTCTTGATATCATGCACAACGTCGTCCAATAATTATCAATAAACATACCAATTTAATCTTTTCATCATGTTGTTCGACTTCATTAAGCAGTTTCCTTTTCTCCTCTTTGCATTTTTTCACCTCATCTTGCAAACTTGAGATTTCTTTTTCATCATTCTATAACGCAAATAAAAAAAATACAGTTTTGAAACTTCACAAGAGTTTGAACATTCCGCGAATGTCAGTGACGGGGGACAAAAGAGTCAAAATTATTTCGGGTCATCTGAAATTAATGGAGGAAAAGCCGCCTTAGAATCGTTTCGATAGCTTTTTTTAAACTCTCGCAAAAAGAAATTAAAGCTGGCTTAGCACGAATAACGTCAAATCATTCAACAACAACAAAATATTTGTAGATTTTACACTTCAGGCAAAAAAAAAAGTTTATTTTGATCCAGCCACTTTAAGAAACAAGAAGCACACACGAAAGTAAAATAATCCATACCTCGGCAGATGATCGTTTCGTTTCAATTACAGAGCAAGAAATGGCGCTATAAAAACAAAGCGTACGTCAAAAGCATTCAAGGACCTGCATACCATTTACCTAATCGTAAGATATATTAAAAATATCTCACCTAAAACTTGCCGTATTTTGTAAAACGACATTAACTAAATTTCCATTAGACTATACTACACGCTACAAAATGTAGTAAACTGAGTGAGATGATATGTCCAGGTATTTACAGGTCAGTGATGTTAATAAACCTCGTTGCATGTTGCAAGCACACCAGTTTCCAACGGCAACAAAGCTGTCATATTTTTATCGAAGTTTCCCCATTCCTTTTCGTCCTAACGAGTTGAATTTAATCTTCGGAAGAAATGAATTACCGATAATGAGACAGGGCAAAGGTTAGGTTGGTTGGTAAACGATGGCATTAGCGAGCTATGACAACAAACTACGAATCGTTGTCGTAGTGGTACTCTTGCAAAAGCTCTCCATTTTCTCCCTCACGGGGAGTGGAGTCTGAACAAATTTTTTTATCACTGACGATTTCAAATTAAACATTGCAATGCCAGAAGCGCAATGGATCTAGTTATCTATATGGGAGACTGGGATGCATCTATGATTGCAATTGGTTTAAAAGATCCACCTACGACACAGCCCTCTCACCAAAATTCTGACTTTTAAGAGCTAAAAGCCTACCAAAAACATATCAATGCGTTGAATGGGCACAACTTTTACTGAAATCACGAGTGCAAGATGAACCATAAAACTTAAGATACTTTTTAGTAAAAACGCAGGTTCCTTGTTTCAAGACTGAAGCTAATATCATGACGATTGCCATTCTAATGAGTCCAAATGAAGCGCGTTTTAACTTAAACCCACGTTAACTACGAAGTCGCTATTACACAAGTTCACTCCATATGGAGCAAACAAAAGCACTGCTAAAGAGGCAAACAAACCAAACGAAAAACCTTTTTTTGTCGTGTTGTATAGCCATTAATAGCTAAAACTTGATAAACATACTGTATATTTGGTGTTATGTACATGCGTCATAAATTAATCGGTTGCTCGATGAGACAACACGACAAATCAGAGATAATTGGTTGATCAAATGGGATAATACGGTATACCGAATGCTCTTTGCTCTTTCCATAAATGCAGCAAAAAACTCAAATCTCAAATGAAATTAGCATTGAAGATATTTATACGGCCGAAGGCCATGTGAGCAATTCAAGGCGCTGTTGTCATGCTGCACTTTCTTCTTGTTGACAAAAGAAGCCAAAAATGAATGAATCTACAATCTTCTTTGTGGGAACGAGAATCGTAAAGCTTACTGCAAACGAGATAAAACCGAAAAACTTGATGCAGAATGCATAACCTTCCTCCTAATTCCAATTCCTCCAAAACAGCAGGAGAAATTTGAATTCATCCAAAACAGCACAATGCAACTGAGCGTTGAGCCAAAGCACACAAAACTCATAGACAAAAGGCCTAAATTGATCGACAACGTATCCTTAAACAAAGGCGTATTCGACAGGGTTCGGTAAGCAACAAAAGCAATTTTCGGAGCGGAAGAAACAAAAAAGAGTAGAACTGTCCAGAAACACGTGGAAAAAGCCTTGTTGGATGAAATCCTTTTAGATTTCGCAATCTTTAACATTTCATTCTTCAAATAGCACAGAAGAAGAAACGTTAAAAGAACAAACAAGCAGAAAACACCCCTCACCAGGACAAGAGAAATATCATGAAATAACCAACTCTGCTTCGTAGCGTCGACGATTTCAGTACGCTCAAAGTCGCTGGCGAAGTGTCGTGAAATTAGTTCATGTCAAATGATGTAGATGAAGAGATGCTGTCGGAAGCGTTTTCGTTTCCGAAAGCTATTGTTGATTCTATATATAAATACAGCTGCATGCACGCATTCTATAACCCGTTCGCGGTTCATCTTTTTTTTAAAGGGCGAAACGAGATATTGAAGCCTTTAACAGATGGCCACACTAAGAAATCATCTATCCCCCCCCCGACGTTTCGTACTCCAGAAATATTAAAGTGTTTATCATAACAAATTTTACAATGTTTTCTCATTTTACAGTGTTTTCTGTTTAGAATAACTCAATAACATCTTCAGTACAATAATATTAATGGAGATAATACTTTTTTTGAGATATGTAACTTTTCTTCATTATGAATATGAGATCGTTATAACAACCCGCTGCATAATTAGTATTGGTAAATAGTAATTTTTTCCACCGTCAGCATTAAAATATCAATATCTCTTTGGCAACATTACAAAAATATTCATCAACACGTTACTCAGTAAGCTGTTGTATTTGTGCATAAAACTTTCTAACAATGTGGAAAATAGATCAGCAAGCTGTTGTATTTGTGCATAAAACTTTCTAACAATGATGATCTTTCAAAAATTGTTACTGAGTTTCTGATTTCGTGACGATGTCATTTACGTAATGAATAAAGTTCAATATCTCGAGAAAAAGGTACAAGTCAATTCTACTAAAGAGGTTACCAATGTCATTCTATATATTCTTAGCATTACAATCAAGCAAGTTTGTTTCGAAATTTAGTGTCATAAACACTTTAATGAGCAATTCAAACTTAGCAAACGTTACACATCTGTTTAAACAACGAGCATTAGCATCAAGGTGGGTAAACGACTTTCAAACATGTCTGCAGTGCACGCATTCGCAATTCACCTTCTCAAATTTTACTTTGCCACGTTGCTGGTGTGCAATAACATTGACTTTGTAAACATGTCTTGATTTTCTGCCCACGAATTTTAATCAATCATGCGTTGAGTAACTTAGCGTTGTCGTAACACAACAATGAAGAGAAGATGCAAAGTGTTCTTACAAAACGTCTGGATAAAAAATAGCCGTTTCGCATTTTCATTTATTTTACGTACAGACTATTTACTCCTAACATGCAATATTTATGCTTTAATTCACTAAAAGTAGAATGAATGGGACTAATTACCCTGCTACCAAAGGTAAGCCCGAGTTTAAAATTAAAATTTTTTTGGCATGTTAATGAAGATTGAACGTTAAGGTTTTGACCTATGTATTCTACAATTACATTGTAAAACATTACGATCCACCTTTGCAAAGGAACTAAATCGATAAAAGACAAACATATCCTGCAAAACCAAGAATTCCAGAACAGCAACACACTAAAGCAACAAACCGATGGCAAGCTAGTTGATAGTTGATTTTTTATTTATGGCACCGGTCAAAATTCGCTCGCTCCGAGTTTGAGAATTGAACATTATGACATTACTATTTGATCATACCGTACAGGGAAATATGTCGCTCAGCCTCAATACATTTTCCCATACAGGCCTAAATGCCCGTATACAACATAGCTACGTATATTCTTGCAAATGTTCCCCAACTGTCTTACAACAGATGAGCTAAGCAAGCAGGAAAATCGCCAATCAACTAACCTCATTGCTACAGGGACAGCATTTACTTCCACTTCCTTCTCTTGAATTTCCTCTAAAAATCTGCGACGATTGTCCATGTTAAAATCAGCGTCACCATCTAAACCCCTGCTTGGGCTACATGCAAAGGTCTGCTCCAGTCCTATACATGGCTCGACAAACTTTCTTTCGAATGGAAAATTCATCTCCATGAAGGGGTTATGAAGTATGCCCGACGGGCAAACGGTCCAACGACGTTGCTTACGCTGAGAAAATTATCAAAGTGAAAAACTATATGAGTATATTTTCTCTGAAGTGGTGCACGTTTTGTGCTGTTATCGGCGAAATTTTAAAAGGCAAAATTCTGAATTTTATAGACATGCTCGTGCGTAGATATGCACGAGAGTGAATTCCGTTCAGAAATGTCGCAAAATTCTGTTATTTTAGTGACCGATGTTAGTATATCTTGATAACGATAAAAAGTTTTTTCAAAGCCTTTGGTATTTCGTGTGGGACTTTGTATTCTACCATACGTAGTTGATGCTGCTATGTAATTGGTTCCCGTTCTCTGTATTTATGTAAAGTACTGCAGCCTCCAACCATACTTAGTTCAATACTATTATGTAATTGGCTCATGTTGTTGGTATTGAAAGTGCTGCTTTAGTAAAATGGAGCCAGAGACTTGGCAGTACTTTGAGTTTTTTTTTGTGCGCAACGCCTGCGGCGTCTTTAACACAGAATCTTCAAACAGTTTTTCGTTGCTCATAAACAAACGCCACATGCATGTGGTGGTGAAGAAAAATTCTTGATGAATTATCGAGTATCTGACTGAATTTCCTATTGGCCGCATTAAAATTTGGCTTTTATTGTAATTCCAGGCCACAACCCACCACCATTGATTCACCAATCATAAAATGATGCCAGCCAATTAGCATGGTGTTTTCAAACTTTTATTAAACGCATGGCCTCCGAAAGTGACTGCTTAATGGAGATGTCTACTTGATAGAGATTTCATTGCTACAAAATTGCTATTTGAGATTAAATTTAGGTCTTTACGAAGTGTCCGCTCAATACAGGATGTCCACTTAATACAGGTTTCACTGTATACAAGATTTTCAAAAATCGACTACCCATTTGGCATTTTTAATGCAAACCGCTTGATATAACTTACTTGTTTTACATCATTTTCGTTTGGTTTCGAAGTACACAGGATGTTTGTGACTTTCATAAGCTTGATTTTGGTCTCCTCCTTAAACGAAAATATAAAAAACTGTCTCCGACCTTCACAAACACGTAAGAATAAATAGCAGGCTGTCCAAAATTGCGGTTACGAAACCTGGGTTACAGTGGCGTTACAACATAGATATAGTTTTGAGCTAACCTAATCTGAAGATTTTCAAATAATTCGAGCTTGTTAGGGCAATAAAAAATCGCATTGATATTTTCTAGTCAGTGGTGAAGACATGTAGTTGCAGGTAATTCTAAACTGCAGACATGCTGTTACTGCATAGTTGTAGACAGTATATGTTTGAATCAGCATGTTTGTCTTGAAAATTAGCTCATCATTATTTTATTCAATATATTTTTGGTTATGTTTACTTTTCAACGGCATCAAGGTACTAAATTCCTTTACAGTTTATAAAACACCTTCACAAAACATTGCCAAACTTTTAAATATGTTGATGGTTTATATATGGTACGTCCATCATGCACTATTAAAAATGAAATCTACGTGGAAAATTTGTGTGACCCAAATTGGCTTTTTCCGCCACATCAAATTTTGAACAGGCTGAATGAAGGTCGCTTGCTTGTTTCTACACACAATACATCAACAGAATTATCTCGCGAAAACTTACAGCAATCTTTCGCTGTTCTTCAAGTTCTTGTTGAATCTAAAAAAAGGCAAACAGAACTTAAAAAAAATGTCGCGAAATCTGTTATGAATATCCACAAAGAAACGCGTGAAGCTACAAACTGTGAACTGGTCACAACAGCGGACACTTATATTTAAGTGAGTATTTGTCAGTGATTATCATTCTACATGCCTCTAACGGACCAAAGAAAGACCTGTTGTACAGGTTTTAAGGAGATTGTTAGCTGAAAATCGGAAATTCAACCTTACAAACCGAACGGTATGAATCGAGAGATTGCGTTCGGCCTTTTAAAAAAAAACACGTGGTGAAAAATTTATCATTCCTATTTGTTGAAAATGGCAATTGACTGGCCTGCCATTATGGTTATCTCGTGCTTCAGAAGATATGCGTGGCATAAAAAATTTCAATCAATTGGCCTTCTTCTGCATATTCCTTTTTTGTAAAAAAAAACCTACTATTATAAAATTGCAGCAACGAGAAAATTGCAGTCAAATATACTAATCTGACTAACGAATGTTACTACTAACCTCCATCAGAAAAGCACGAAGATACAAAAAGAGCAAAATTATGAAAAATATTTTCATAATCACGAAAAGTCGTTATGAAGCAATATTTTACCATGCAGTTTTCTTAGTGTATTGGACAGAACATTTAAAACGACTTAATTTCTTCATGAATAGATTATTTTATTTCTTTCTTGGGATATTTAACATTATTTATCATGCGAAAACATCACAGTCACATCACATTGCGCGATAAAATTTTAAAGACCACCAATTTTTCACATCTTTAAATCATTTAATTTCCCATGAACAACACTTTAACAAATAAATGAGTAGATGAATATGTGCATAGATACCCAAGTTAGATATTTCACAAGACATTGTAGACAGTAATTTACTATGTTTGTAGCCATTTACTTTAGTAATTTACTACTTTACAAATCTTAATTATGTCTTGTGATGTCAGCGATGTTTATGCAATTTACTAAAGTTACATATCTCGAGAAAGAAATGAAACAAAATAATTCCACTGAAGTAGTTGTTAAGTCATTTTAAATGCTCTTGCCATGCAATCGTAAAACAATGCGGTAAAAATTGGTTTCATTAGTACTTTAAATATTGTTATGCTCGCGTGGATATGTTGTGGAGCGAAAACTGACTTGAAGATATAACTTATCGATAAAGGTTTAAATCTTACTTTGTCCTTCTCCATTTGGAGTTCCATCTCTCTTTGAAGTGATTCTTCTCGTCCTTTGGTCTGTGAAAAAGCAATACGAATCACGCGTTATGCAAATACTTGCAAGGGATTTATCAGCAAAATGAGGGAATTCGCCTTGTTTATGGTTTGAGCTAAGGGGCTGTTCACATGAGCCCGTCAGCCGGGATTTAGCGAAGCGTTAAATTATTTTAAATAATGGAAAAGATTAAATACTTCACAACAAAAAACTTATTTGAGCAATTTCTCTATACTGACTTTGCAAATTAACAAAACCTTCAAAATTAAAACAAATAGTTTAGCCTGATTTGAATATTACCACTAAAATGACTTATGACTCTGAAGAAAAGGCGGTAAGTTTTCCGCTTGAAGTTTTTGCTTCCTTCAATGACACAAAATCATTTCACGCCTCGATGAATCCCGGTTATCGGGCTCATGTGAACAGCTTCTAAATTTAGCGCGTTTTCAAAAGTGTTTAGGCTTCTCTCTACACGGCAGGGGTAAAAAAATCGTCCAAAATTTGTGTCGTGCAGCTAAAATCACTTAACAAATAACCCTACAAATCCACTCTTCATCTTTTATTTCATTGAATATGGCATACTATGGGCAAGTCAAAAAATTATCTCCGGCAAGCAAGTTTTCCATTAAAGGCAACCAAATGTTTCAGAATTTTACACACAGCCAATGATTTAGAACCCAGTCCTCTAGATATCTAATTACCCAGTCAAAGTCAGGCAAGGACGTCATATTGAAAGTTGGCAAACAGCGAAACTCAAATTAAAAATACGTTAAAAACCAATCCTATCGAACATTTTAAAAATTGAACTTAAACTATCAGCTTTGCAACTGTATATCAACTCAGGAAAGGCAGATATTAAAGGGCGTAAAGAGCATAAGTTTTGCAACCTTTCAAAGTGGCGGCTTGCCTCACTGGTAATTATAGAATTTTGGCGGAGTCAGATATCTAGTAGATTGCGTAGTAGGTCATTGTACACAGCACATAAAGACACAAACTTTGAGACTGTTGCATGGATACACGTTTTGAAACTGATGCTTCCTTAAAACCCGTGATGTATCTTTTCGTGTGTGCCGATGAATTTTCGCGTAATATCTGCGTTTGTAATTAAATAAAATACACCCTACGATGAATACTCCACTGATAACCTTCATACGATACTTTAGTATGACTTTATTCCTTAGTGACCAAGGTTACACTTAAGAATGTTAATGACCATTTATCGATGACACCATACCTGCTCTAACTCGTGTTTTAAACGTTTGATTTGTCTGCGACAGCGTTTCAACATGGTACCATCGTCCAACACCTGCAAAGTCGATAAAACCAATGTCAAGATTGAAAGGATTGGTTCAACAACCAGCTTGACCATATATGCAAGTTTCTATACTAGATATGGCCGAATGAGCTTAAATATTCACCCCGTTCTGAATTTCGCAACTAGTAGAAGGGACAGTCTAAGCTCATCAGACAAAATACAGCATAAAAATGGCCTGTAGAATGTTTTTAGGGGTCGCCATGTTGGGGGGGAAACTCATTTATATAGTGAAAAGAATAGATATTAGTTTCATATTCTGTTGGGCATCGGCACTTCAATGTACTCTCCCCCAAATATGGCCAATTGGACGTCACATGCTCACACTATATCTTCCCGCTGGGTTTTACTGAGCACGAAAATCTACATGAACGGCACGTAACCGAGGCGTCGTCCCACAATACGTTTTCCCTTTTCACTCAAATCACAAGTCTACAATCTCGAAATGTTATAAACGCCTATCACTTTCAAATTCAGATTTTCCGAGAAACTGAATGCATGCACTATTCTTCATTCGGTTCATAGAAATGTTGCTGGACACAAATATGGCACAATTCATTGATCGAGAACCATAAATATTCGCACATCAAATAAAACGTAATCAATAACAATCAAACCACCACAATCCCTTAGCAAAACTGAACTCTGATGCTTTATCTGTTGAAGAGATATATGTAAGGCACACACTGACACACAAACATAGTTATTTCTTCACATCATTTCCGAAATCATTTCGCTATAGCAAGTATCTAACGAAACATTACCTCGTTCACTTCCGGATTATTTTTTATTCGTTTGGCTCGGCTCGCGAACTAAAAAAAGAAACACGCTGTCTTCATCAAAAAAGTTCTCGGGGAACTACTATATTCTTAGTAGTGTAACAAGCTCTAGTTTAACATTATGGAGCTCAAAATACGGAAAAGGCAAAAACAATTCTCACATTTCTTTGTAATACGAATATTACAGGCAAGTGAGCCAACACATAATTTTCAATAGAGGCATAATGAAAAATTGTGGTAAAAGGGTTTTTTGGCGTTTCATCTGTTTAAGTTAAGACATCTTCGAACAAATCAGGATGAGACTCAATTCGTAATTCAAAGATGACTTTTTAAGTTTGTTTTAACAGATTTCGCCCCCTAAATAAATTGCTCACCCCTCTAAGAAACATTTTAACGCCCTCTCAACTTTTAGCAAATCAAATCGGCAGGAAAGCTGATCTGATTTTTTTTGGGCAATGTTTCAACTCTCAACACTATAACCCTCGGTAACTGCAGCATCCGACCACACCTAAGCTTCTTTACTTTTTCTTGAGTCTTAAGTCACTTCCTTACCACTCCACCAAAATTTTTTTAGCACCACCCGTGCAAAAAATATGAAAATCCGTTCATGTGCAATTTTTGAACAATACAATACTTCCTGACTGGCTTAACAGGCAATCATGCTCACATAAGTAACAAGCAATGATGAATCGGCATAACTATCATTATTATTCACTATATGAAAAATGTCAGTTTTGATTGATCATGTCAACTGCCTGCAAATAATTCTCGATATCTGTAATTGTGACGTCATATTTACAAATAATTTATGATTTTTGTTATTATGACGTATTATCTACAAATAGTAGTTATTGACAATTACTGATGCCATTAAAAAACAGTTTCGAAAAAAATCAAATAACAATGTTTGCCACAGTTTCCAAAAACGATATGCGAAAGTTTTTGAACAAAAAAGATGCGGGATACACTAAAAAAGCAAGGAATCTGGCTTCGAACATATTTACAACATACTTAAAGGAGAGGAATTTGAATGAACAGTCTTACAAGGACAAATTAGCGAAGGTTTGAAAAATGTTCTACATTGATATGTTATAATGGCTCTTGATATCATGTTCAACCTTATGCTATTAAAACAATGTAATAAGAAGAATTCGTTATTTAAAGCCCGAAGATTTTGATCGTAAAGTAAACTGTTAAAATACCCACATACCTGCAAAGTTGTATGAGTTTCGTCAATCGACGCTGGGGTTATCGCACAGATGATTGACGTCTTGGCGTTACCGCCGAGGGAATTTTGCAAGATACGTGTCAACTTCGAGTTGCGATACGGAATAAAACCACTGAAAAAAAAAAAAGGAGCGGTCATTAAATATAAGAGCACAACAATCGTTGAAGAGCACCACAAATTGATTAAAAAATATTAGTCACGTCAAAGTCTTCTTCAGGAAACTAATTCGAATTGCATTTTTGAAACTCTTTATGTTTTCAACTTGCTAGCCGCCTAAGCTAGTGAAAAAGACTACAATGATTCGATTGGTTGAAATAAAGGTGAAACTAAAATGCGTGGGGAAAGAGAAAAATCCAAAGTTTTGCTATTTCGCAAGGTAAAACTGAAATATAATACCTCCAAATAAAACTAATGAATAAATGTACTACAATGTACTTTGAAGTACACGATTACGTACCCATCGCCGTCACTGAGCTTGTAGATCACATCAGCCAACGTAAAAAGACTTGTATTGATAAAAGAGCCCTCTTTAAGCCTAAGACCCTCCGCTCCACTAGCAGAAGCACGTTCGGAACCAGCCAAGTCGACTAGATTCTAAATTCAAGGAACCAGTGTCAAGCAGGTACAAAGTTGCATCATGTTGATAAATATAACCTTCAAACAGATTGGATTTTCCCTTAAAATCTTTGTAGCCACCCTGGTTTCGGCTTCTTTTCATGACTGCTGTGTCAGATGTCATGTTAGTGTATTACTTAACCTGCGCGTAAACCTGTTATGTGTGCCTTAAACATGAATTTTCCAGTATACAAGAACTTTATAAGCAGTCAGTATATAATAAAATATGGGTTTTTGGAAAGTGATGTCAAAGTACAAACCAAATGCGAAACTTTTACAGCGTCGCCTATCTCGCCCGGTTCACAGCTGTGTAAGGAACTTGGACTGCTTTCTGCAATCTAAAAATTTAAACAAGAGTTATCACTAATAAATGAACGAAAATAATATGGTTAGAGTTGGCGAATCGCGGAAGGCAATTTCTTATCCAAATCAAAATCACAGAATCCAAATGTAAAATTTGAGAAAAGTTGCTCAAAAAATATGTGTCAACCAAGATGCATTGCGCGTTAATCACAATGTAATGGCCAATATGTGGGTCGATAAAACGGCGAATTTTGTTAATATAGTCCATGCAACTTAGACAAACGGTAATAATTAATGTAAAATAGAGTTTTAATCAATGTTTTTTGCTAACTTTCTAGATAAATTAGACGATATAGTGACGAAATTGAATTCAATGTGTTCCGCAATATCAAAAACTAACGATGTAAACATAAACAAAAGCGCGCGATGCATCTTGGTTGACATACATTCTTTAGCAGGACTAAATCTGCGGACCGGCTACGCCACTGCTACCGTTATCTTATACATTGAAGAGTGCGATAAATTTCAACACTATGCTTTTATAAACATAATCTTGAGTAGTAATATGATGCCTGGCGACTGTGGCGTCCCGGTCATCGTAAATGTCTTTCCAGAAGAAGTCTGGCGTATGCAAACAGCATTGCTCACCCCTCTAAGAAATATTTTAACGCCCTCTCAACTTTTAGCAAAACAAGTCGGCAGGAAAGCTGATCTGATTTTTTTTGGGCAATGTTTGAACTCTAACACTATAACCCACGGTAAATGTAGCATCCGACCACACCTAAGTTTCTTTACTTTGTCTTGAGTCTTAAGTCACTTCCTTACCACTTACCCCTCCACCAAAATTTTTTAACACCACCCGTGCAAAAAATATGAAACTCCGTTCATGTGCAATTTTTGAACAATAGAATATTTCCTGACTGGCTTAACAGGCAATCATGCTCACATAAGTAACAAGCAATGATGAATCCGCAAAACTGTTATTCATAACTGTTTTGAGTAAAATCAATATGCTAAATCTGCGGACCGGCTACGCCACTGCTACCGTTATCTTATACATTGAAGAGTGCGATTAATTTCAACACTATGCTTTTATAAACACAATCTTGAGTAGTCAACTCGTAGTCTTGAATTTTACAAATTTTTAGACTTTACCTCAAAAAGTATTCAAAATATATATTTATTTCATATCTAATTCCCATAGTAAATTGATATAAATTATGCTGTTGAACATGAAATCAGAAATGGCTTAAGATTCAAGATCAAAGACAAAAGATCAAATCCATGAGTAGCTAACAAATTACCATTCGGAAGATGGTATGGGAGCGACTGCTCCGTTCATTCATGTTCGTCGCCCCAATGCGACGATTTTTCTGACCAATGTTCATAAACCGAATGACCTCATCAATGGACGTCACGACCTCCTCGGTCAAATTTTCCACAGATATCTCGCGATTAGTGTTTTCGCGTATTTTTAAGTTCGCCTGACCGGGATTGAGGAGATCAGTCAGCTTGTCGTTGTAGATTTCCAAGAAAGACACTCGTAGGAGGAACTCTTGATTTTTACTGTCCGCGATGTAGTCGAAGACGTCTTGAAGGGCGTATAATATGATGCCTGGCGACTGTGACGTCCCTGTCATCGTGAATGTCTTTCCCGACGAAGTCTGCCCATATGCAAACAGCGTACCTTGAGAGAAACTTAAAAATCTGAAATCCACGTTATTAGTATATAATGTAAATAAGATATAGTAAGATTTAAGGCGTTACAAGATAATATAAGATTTAGATATATTATAAGCTATAAGGTACAAGATGTATAAGATATTATTATACTATAGTTATAGATAAGATATTGTATAGATATAAGTACATGTGAGATATATAAGAGATATATAAGAAATATATTGTCAATGGCTCTGCCGTACATTCGGTCTAATAAGCAGTAATTAAATCAGGGATGGATAAGGGATGATTTTTAGGACGGGGGAGATTCTGTTCTTTAGTTTGAATTGAATTTCGGTGGCTACTTTGAATGCATATTAGAATATATTCAAAGTAACTACCTTGGTTGGAGAGCAGCGATGATGCTAATATACCATAAATTAGCATAAATTTGTACTTCAGCATCCTCTCTAACCAAGACCACAGGTGGGGTGCCACCCCTCTGTACCCCAAATTCATCCCTGAATCATACGTATATTATCAAGACGCTTATCTTTCATACCATTTATACCCTCCATAACGGCACGAACAACTGGTTTTGCAAAGTCGTCGTACAGATCGATCGTTTTGCTTTCTTTACCAAAGACACGATCTTGAAGAAAAAAAATACGTAGCAAAGTTATTACAAATGTATCTACGTACGTACCTCGAGGACAGGAGATCGGAAGCACATATGGTGTGGCAAGGAGGCAATGCTACACAGATTTTTAACTCCTGCAACGCATATAATTTTGTGTTCGTTAACTGAAAAGACAACGAATGGAATTCATTTTCGAAAAAAAAACGTGTCGCAATATCTGCAGAGCATGAGTAAAAATTCAGTGTAGTGATGCACCGATATAGGATTTTACCGATGTACCGATTAAGCGATATTGTGCCGATACCGATACTTTACGAAACTTAAAAATCATAAAGTATGCTACTTTTTGCTCACCAGTGACTGTTCGTTTGATAAAAAATATAAAATTCAAAGTGTTTATTTACACTGCAGCCATATTTTACTGCACAATAGTCAATGGAAATTAACATCATGTGGAACGTGTGGAACTAACAAAGTTTAAGTAGCATTAATTTAACAAAAATTGTTTACTAAAATATATTTAGTATTATTGAACAATGATTTACTTCAATTGTATTTCTATTTCAATGAAATGTCTAAATATCGATATTATGGGCAAGAAAAATACCCATACCGATAATTCTATTTTAAAGCCGATACGGCGATATCGTATCGGTGCATAACTAATTCAGGATACTTCACCATTGGTGCAGTGAATCATCATTAGAGGTTAACGCATGGACTACAAAGCAAATGGGGGTTATAACCGCGCAATATTTTCCATCTTGAGCTTGCAGACATAGCGAATGCGTGTTTAACGAGGATAAAGAGAGGAGGAAGCAAATTTACGGTGCCTTAGTTTCCCCACAAAAATAAAAACTAAAAGCTTTCGCTCTCCCTGTAACAAGACCGCGAGAGTAATGTAAAAAAAGTGGCTACATATGTCGACATAGGCGGCGAGAAAGTTTTGTCCTGTTAATTTAACTTCGAAACAGCATCATAAACGATGTCTAAAAATGAAAATTGCGTTCGCACAAAGCAATAGTATTGAGACTTTTCACGGACTTTGAAGGACATATTTTGAATAAAGTCAAGGACGAGTAATTAAGACATCGAATACATCCGAAGCACGACTAATGCAAAAAAATTACTAAGCGCATTATCAAAATTAAAACCAAAGAGCTTTTCAATGAATCAAAAACAAACGATGTTTTTTCTATCGAAAGCAGTTAATCTGATCTCACACCACATGCATGGTTTTCTTCTCATGAATGTTTCACTTTTACAATTTTCTTTTCTATTAAAATCCTTTCACATTGTCATGGGTGTACGTATGATATTAACGAAGTCATGTGACGCTGAAAAACGCCATGTTTCTGTAGGTTACATCAAAGTTATGACATTTCAAATTACAATTTCATTTTTGAAACAGGAAATTATTGCGCCATCCGATATGTTAACAAAAAGTCGATCAAAACAAGTATTAAAAAATTAAAAAATGCAACGACTTTCGAGAATATCTTTACCAAATCGAGGACTCTGGATTATTTATTTTTAATTTAATGATATTCTAGAGCATTCAAGTTTCATATAAACCCTGACATCAATTTTCTCAAGATGACCCAAACATAAAACTTGGTGTTCTGACACTTATATACAAAATCCAGGCTGGCTTTATCAGTGGTGCAGTGAGACATGAGAGGTTAACAAGATTGGGAGAGTATGTACATACAAAGGGGGTATCTCATTCAATGTGCTACAAGTTTGAATGATGCATACCAAAGGTAAAAGTTGTGTTCAGGAGCTTCTTTCCATCTTGGTACTGTGAAATAGAAGTGCCATCATTTCCATGCCAATGTTCATCACAATTGCAATCATTCTCACTACATGGAAAATACTTTTAATTGTCAGTTTTGAGTTGATTGATTTGTTTGTGGGTCAAGAATGGTGGAAATCTTTACTACGATTATGCAAGAATCTTAGTAAGATCTTACACCAGATCTTCAACAGGATCTTTGTATCTTACAGGATAGGGATCTTAAGTAAGATTTTATGGAGATAAGAATGGAAATAAAAAATATAGAAGTAATACAAATTTCAGTTGCTTAATAAGAGTGTTATAATCAGTGGTGTTGCCAGCCAGAAAGTTTTGTTGTGCTAAATTAGTATTTGGTGTTCACTCTATGTAAAAACAATAGATTTTTAAACAAATAAACAATGTGAAATTTAAGGACCATTCAAACATTCAGGCTGGTTACGCTGCTTAATTATGGTGTAAGCAAAACATGTCCATTGATAGTCCCCAACAAATTAAATTCAACTTGATATATATGATGTGGTGATTTTTATTAAATTAAACCAAGAAAAATATGAACTTGAATCATGTGCCATTGTATAAGATTGATAGCTGTGAATGTAAAAATTATAGGATAAGTGGGACTGTGGGATAAGTTTGATAAAAAAACTGTTTAATAATTGAGATATTGTTGACACTCTTATTATGTAGAAATAATTCAGTAGTTGCATAATTAAAGGCAGATGAACACAACAATTTGTAATACATAAAGCACTTTGCACATGTCCACCATGTTATACTTAGCCCATCTTCGATACATCCTGACTATTATTTGTAAACTAAAAATCCAAGATTTGATACTCTCAAGATCAGACCACACAATTACTTCGACATATCTGCATTTGATATTTACAATGTCATTAAAATCCTACCACATGGTAGTCTATAAAGTCGATAAATCCCTTTGCTCATGGTTGTATTGAATTTAAAATACTGCTACAATTACAGGGACGCTATAATTACCTAAGATGTTGAATCTACCCCTAGCATATCGTTCTTAAACATAAAATACGAATTCTTACCGTCTTATTAATGGTCGTACCCTGATGGCTACTCGAATACTTGTGTCCGACGCAGACGTAGCCATGTTCCAATGTAAAGATCTTCTGAAACAAGCAGAGAAAGCAAGCGGAGTTAGCAAAATTTGCAATCGGTATCTTTATCGATTTTCTTAATCTTTGAATATCGTCCTCGATGTACGGTTTTCTCGACAAACATCAATAGAAAATGCAATTTACCTTGATGCTAATCGAAAGAAGAAGAGACTGTTGCTATATATCCTTTCCTTATTACAAAATAACAACCGAAATTTGAAATTTAAGTGTAGAAGAACGTTAATGACTTGTATCTCCAACTCAAAGAATTATGACAATTCAAATTTTTGCTAACTATCAATTTGGTTTGCTGATTGGTCAAACGTTTTTCACGGTTATTCGTACTCAGTCTTCTTAAGTAGCTCACGCAGCTCTACTAAGGTTAGCCGCTGATCAGATATCGCGAAGCAGCAATAACGTTTTCGGCGGGAAAAGTTGCACAATGTTATTTTTTTCAACAGTAAACAAAAAAAGTGAGCTTTAACTTCGTTAAAATTTACTGCAAGAGGTATTTGCTATTGGCTTTGCTCTTATACATGATATCTTGTTTATCTCGGTAAGTGGATGGCAGTGTTTATGTTTCATTTCATTGCAATGCTTTTGTGAAATTTTTGTGAACTCTAGCTGATTTCAACGCTACAGGAAGTCTAATGATGACATGTCAACAAGCACAAAACGACCCGTTTGCTTTTTTGGATGAGGACTTGCTTTTACAAAAACTTTTCGAAGACGACGAGTTACCTCAAAACGACGCAAGGAAAACAAAATCAACGAAACCTGTGTATGTTAATATTGTTTTAGATTTGCGGGCAGTCGTACAAAAGCTAAACAGCGCTATCCACTGAATAGTGATTTTTTAATCATTTATATTTTTTAAAGCCATGAAACAACAAATTTAATTTTTAAAAAACATCAAAAGCATAATAATTATTAGGATAAAAAGTGAACACCCGTCCAATACCATGTCAAAAATGATTAGGCAGGACTTAAAAAATATGGATCAGTGATATTTGCTGAACAATTTGCATTTGTACAAACACCCGAAAACATAAACATCAGAAAATATAAATTAATTTATAAAATAAAATAAATGAAACGCGTGTGCTGAGTACTCTCGAGCATAATCTGCTCTCGAGTTCTCCCAAAGGTCTCCTCGGTTTGCATAAGCCTGTGCAAACACAGTAAACATCTTTTATTTCTATAAATACAGGATCAATCAGATGATTTCTAATGAGGCGAAAGGAGGGTATTACCATTGAGTTCTATAATAACTGGAGCGGCTATCTCAAGCGCGGCCTTAGATATCTGATGCATTGAGTTCTATACATTGAGTTCTATAATAACTGGAGCGGCTATCTCAAGCGCGGCCTTAGATATCTGGTGACGCCAAAAAAATGGCGGATTTCGTCCGTTGCCGCTGAGATTTACCGAAATTGACCGCTTTTCCGAAAATTTCACAATTTCCCACTCCCTCCTGATGAAAGAGTGAGGAAAATGTATATGTGTATTTGGGATTCGGCAAGCAATTTTTTGATGAAAATCACGATAAAAACCTACAATTCGTAACAGCGAGTCAACCTAGCTTTCCAGTTATCGGCTCCTACGAGGAAAGATATTAACTATAAACTATGTACGAAAGAACTCTTTGTTGGCTGCGTTTGAACGTTTTTAAACGTCGTGTCTAATGTACATGTGGACGATGTGGACGATGTGGACGATGTGGTCTCTTTTCAAGGTAAGGAGAAAGTCTTAAAGCCATGTCCAGCCGACAATTTAAAAAAGATAGTAAAAAACAAATTCTGAAGAAACGAGATATCTCGAGATGAAAAAATGTGAATGAAAACAAAACGCGAAGTGAACTGTAAAATTTCGATTTATTTCAAAGTCATCCTCAGACAGAATGATAATCCAAACCATGCATACACATATATATTTACAATGAATGAATTAAGTAACGAAAGTCAAGCAATAGAAATTAAATAGTTTGATATTTACGAAAGCGGAGTTGGAAGAGCTGTCATATTTTAAAAGGATGAATTGAAACAAGAGACCAGACTGGTGGAATGAGTGTATTGTAATTTAAGAGAAGAGTTGTAATTCTTTGCTAGCCTTAAGTCCCGTGTTAAGAAACCATTTCTTAATATATGTGTATGCATGGTTTCGATTATCATTCTGTCTGTGGATGACTTTGAAATAAATCGAAATTTTACAGTTCATGTCTTGTTTTGATTCACATTTTACATCTCAAGATGTCTTGTTTCTTCAGAATTTGTTCTTTACTTAACTCTTAAAGAGTACTCTATAGTCATATTTATGTCAATGTGGTAATGTATATTAGTGAAATCAGACTAAGTTACACAACATATTTGCAATAAGAATTTTCTTTTAATGAAGTTTTGAGAAAAAAAAACAATATATAATCTTTTTGTATTTCTGCTAAAGATGACTAAATGTCAAAAAAAAATATTTAAAATTTATTTCCTTGTTAGGTTTATTGTACAGTTGCTGCAATTGTTCAGCACGTTTTTGACTGGTGGGTTTCCTTCCCTACACTGCTTGGCAACATGGCCCAATCTTTTGCATATGTAGCAACGTCTTCCTGTTAAATATTCATAAGGAAGTTGTAGTTCATGACACTTTTTATTTGTTTGTGTCATTAGCTTATTTCTGTTAACAATAATGCATGCAACTTGAAGTTTTCAACCATCTAATCACGCTGATGTTTTATCACTAGGTCAATCAAACTTACTTCTTCTCATACGATTAAACTCTACAAAAAAAAGTATATAATTGTCAATTACAATGGTCATGAAAGAAATGTTATTTCATTTTTTGTCATTACTTTTCTTGCATTCATTCATTTTGTGGCCTTTGTGGCCACAATTATAACATCTTCCTTCATTAAAAAAGCAATGGCAATTATCAGCCAGGCATCAAAGGCAATTAGTACATGTATACACTATACCACACCTTTAAATGAACTTTTTGCTTCGACATTGCTTTCTAAATAAACAAATCGTTTGTTAGGTGCTGTTTGATTTGTTATGTGTATGATTAAATTTCAGGTTAAAAGACTCTTGGTGAAAAGACTCATGGTGAAAAGACAAAAGTATCATGAGAGAGCTGATGGGCATATATCATATATGAATGAGAACAGTATTGTATACAAAGCACTGTTTACCTTCTTTATTTTTTTGGTTTTCAGAATTGGAGCCACCTCAAATAGTAGTAGATTTTTAGCACATTTTGATGCATTGTTGTATTGTGTAATAAAGCAAAAAACAATCATTAAACAGTATAACCATTTTTGGCTAAATACACACTTGCATTTTCATTATCTTCCTCTTCAGTTTCCTGACCTGTTTTGAATGCAATTGAACTATTTGAGTGATTTTCAGTTTTCAAAACAAAAACAAATTTTATACACATTTGATACCAGTGTCCATTGCTTTTTCCTCATCTGTATAATCTAGCATCTGGTGTTTTTGTATGCAAAAAACGATAAAGTGTAAATAGATATTTTGCAAGAAGGGATTTAAACCATGTAAATGAATCACTTTTTGTTTACTTCCATGCTGAAAGCTTCATATAAAGCTTTTCAGATCAGAAATTATTAAATTATTGATCTGTACTAACCTCTTTTTCATCCATGGACCACAATAGAAAGTTGGCAAATACAATAAAAACAAGAAATAAGCAAAGGAAAATTCAGACAAGTTTTAAAAATATTTATAGTATTTAAAAAAAGAGCGGGAAAAAAATGCAAATGACAAACGCCAATGCTGTATTCTGATTGGTTAACAAATCAAACTTTTTTTTAACTATGAAGAACTAAATATTGCATTGAATTTTAAAGTTTTTTATAGTTTGTAAGAGATGATTCCCATGATAATATACATGTAAATTTAGCGTGCACAAATCGTTAATTGCTGTATCAGTAACGTTGAAACAGGGGTGTAAATCCTGGAGAGGGGATTGATATGTGGTGGCTCAGCCTCTCCCTTTCAAAAAGTTAGCAGTTTTGTCGAGCAAAGCATGTAATTTTGCGGAAATTAAAACGGCAAATATTAACGATGACGTTTGGATCAACTCATAACTAAGTAAAAAGCGATTTTGCTGGTATTAACATAAAAAATTACACTACGTTTTTGTTGGGCAAATCAAATTCTGCAACGTTTCCCCTCTCCATTCTCGGGACTCAAGTCACACCCCTGCATTCAAGTAAAATTCTTCTAAATTTTTTTTCAAGTTATTCGAAGTTTAACCATTGGCTTTTTACAAGTCAAGAAACTATATAAACAATGTGAACTCATTGAACTATAAGGTACAAAAAAATGTTAAAGATAAAATGTTACGCATCATGAACGTTGTTCAAGGACTTCCGCATGCAGATCATCCCGGCAATATTCATAATGTCACCTGTAAGTTAAACACGTGCGTTTAATATTGAGTAACGTTTATTTTTAAAAGAACGTTAACAATTCATTTATCAATTGACAGACTGGTTTAATTTTGAAAAAAGCACTTACTACAACGCTCGATCTGATTGAAAGTGCTATCAATGTTACGACCACAAAATAGTTTTCTTATGTCGTCCAATTGGGCTGTTTTGTTGAGTATTTTTTCTCTATAAAAATAGTTCAAAATGAATATTGTGCTATTGTTGTTCTATATTGTACTATGTTGTAGAGGAATACTCACATAGAAGACTTGCATTTCGAATTACTTCTCATTCTTTTAATTGTTTAGTTACGTAAACTAGGTTATAATTTCATGTTACATTTTAAGCCTCGAACACAAATGTGCAGGCACCATTAAATTTCTCCTCGAAACACATATTGCTATGTGCCAGGACGCCTACAGCCTCAAAAAAATGGAATAGTCAAATGAAAAATTCCATTTCTAGGCACAGGCAAAGCCTCGAAAACACAATAGTGTCCAGGCAACGTTCAATCTACTGATGCTTGAACAACACAAGCTTAGACAGCTTTTTACGAATTTTCTGACCCTGCAACTTATCGTTTTGCGTTTTGGTCAAGTGATGCATTCTTATTTTCACAAATGCCTCAGCACAACACTTTATCAGTTTATAAGCATGATTATCTGTAACTGTTGACTCTAACACATGCTCATCTAACATACTAAAAACTTTTTTCTCTACACACACAGATAATACCGTCGCAGCAATTGCACTCGATATGTTTGCTGCTGCATGTGGCAAGCCACCATGGCAGGAATTTACCATCCTCATTACACATTTCTCTGTTTCCTGACACACTTTCAGAAGATCGTCAGTTGGTATTTTTAAACCACCGTTGCTCTTCCATGCCACAAATAGTTCTGGTGCTCTTTCTTTAGATGATGTCAGAGCATCCATACAATCATCACAATGGATCTTCCTTTTCACCATTTTGCGACATACCCAGCAATATACGATATTGCTGCCTCCTTGTAGTCTGAAAGCTGAATGTAGTTTGAGGTGTCGCTGTAATCGTGGTCAGTTTGTTCTGGCCCACGCAGTTCTAGATCGTATCTTCTTGCAGTATTTACGTCGGAAATATCTGCCGACATTTGTTCACTCTCACACCGATCTTCTAGTCTACTTAGAATTTCGGTACCATCCTGAGCAACACAATTTCCATGACCTCCTTTAATGTTATGTCGCATCAACAACTGCTTGTACGCTGCTTTGAACTGTCGAGATGTCGGGTTGTTGTTCCAACCTCCTGACGCTCGCACAGCTGAAAAAAACAATTCTAAATGATCTTGACTTGTCTTATAAGTAAGCAAATATTTAAGGGAGAATTTTCACTTATAACAAGATCCTCAGCAAGCCCTTGCACTGCTTCAATGCACAACAGAAACCCCAAGAATCCTGTTTTCCTCTTATGGGAAAAATCGACTTTCCATCAGCACCCTTCAGATTTAAGACGTATTGCCTTGCTTCATCCAAGAAGGTTTTATCAGCTTGTAATTCGCTTTCCTTATTGGTGCTTTGTAATTTTAGCAATTGGATTCCTGGAATTCAAAACGTCAAACAAGCGATCAAATACTCGAATGAATTTGACTGTTTTATCACACCCTTTAAACTGTGGAAGTTTGAGCTTACCTTCACAGAACTCTAAAGCATCTGCAACACTCGAGCTGAGTGCTTGCACTGCTAAATTACCTTCACTTTCTGTGGCTTCCAGTTTATGTGAGCTTTCTTTAGTTTGTTGGCAAGTCGCAAGCCTTCTGAGGCTTGCAGTTTTCTAGCTCAACTAGGTATTGCCATCTTACCAAACCATCTTTTCATCCTTCAGAGTTCTCAATTCAGAAATTGCTCCTCTGACAAGCTTGATCATGTGACAAGGATCTAAGAATGCATAAATTTTCAACATTAAATCAGATGGATGTAAAAATATGCTTGGAAATCATTAAGTGAAAGTTTCACTCCAAGCAACTTCATCATTGCAAGATGTGTGGATGGACCATCACACGTTAAACTTCCAACTTTAACACCAACATCATGCAACTGCATCAAACACTCCTTGGTTAAATTTGCTTTTACTTCTGCAGTGAGGCCATCTACCAAGAAGTAACCAACTGGTACTTTCCAAGATGAATCTAGAGCAACAGCCATGTATACCAAAACTTCTGTTGCTTCAGGGAGTGAATCATCGTCAATCCCAGTACCAAGGTCAACATAACCACAAACTTTTTGACCATCCCATTCTACGTGTTTACGGATTGACATTTCATCCAGCATCAATGCACATATGACTTCCTTGCCATCTTTCTTTGCTTCTTGAACCTTCACTTTCAAAGCATTCAAGGCATCCTTGGTGAAACCAGGGTCACCATCCACGGAATTATACCAAGATCGAATTACTCTTGGATGAGGTAAGGCTAAATTAAACTTCTCACGAACATAATCATAAGCCTTAGGCGAGTAAAATTTCAAAGTTAGTGCAAAAGCTTGCAATTCTGGGGGGTATTGAGCACCTTTTTTACCCTGAGTGTTTGCCACTAAACGACTCAAAATATCTTCAGGAACCCCAGATAGTGAAGCATTAGGAAGTTCAGCTTGATCAGAGCTGATCATTTTATCATCTTTAAGGCAATCAATGATTGACAATAAATCATTTACCTTCTTTTTCAGTCTACTTTTTTCCATATTAGACACTTTTAACCTCTTTCTATAATACTCTGCCCGGTCTATAACATCTTCCAATTGTCTTTTCAGTCTCCTGGGAGACTTAAGACAATACGAGTGATCATGAGTAGAGAAATGACGACTCACCTTTTCAGTGCTCTTCGTAAATTCAACATCCTTCACCTGTTGAAATAATGTGGGCACAGCACTATCTTCTAGACACACTTTGTTACCTGATATTCTCTTCATGCTATCGGAAAAATGATCTGAGCAAACTCTGCTCCACTTAGTTAGAACTGTGAGAGGCACCATTTCTTTATACTATTTACCCATTCCAAAAAAAGTGCAGGGTTTTTTTCTTCGTCAGGAAAACTATTTGAAAAAGATTAGTAAATTTATTGTTTCATGCGTTGATTCAACAAATAAATAAACAAATTTGTTGAATTTTTTAAAAAACACACAGGAAAACATCAGTGTATGCAGTATTTAAGACAATGTTTTTTCATAAGGCCTAACAGATTTTGGGGCTTTCAATTGTATAAATGCCGATTCAATCTTTCAGGAACAAACAAAATAAGCGAATAACTCACCTGTGAAAAGCGATGTCCTTCGCGTTGTCAATATTACGACATTCTACAATTGAACATCGATTAGGCATTTTTGAAAAAAATATTGTTTTGGCCTTGAAAATATTGTTTATTTATCATACAGCTTGCAATTGCATTTGAAATTTTCAACTGAAGGCGGGAAAACCAATAACATCAATCCGGAGGAGGTCGAGAATATTATTTTTCTGCAAAGCGATCATTTCAGCGGAAATACGACCGTTGGCCGCCATGTTTTTTACAACAGTTCCCAGTCCACTTAGCCGCTCCAGTTATTATAGAACTCAATGGGTATTACCAATGGCGGATTAATGGAGGTCCCCTGCGGTACTGTTATGTACTCCTTTGAAGTTTGAGTAAATTTGAAAAATGCTGGTGAAAATCATGAATTGTTCAATAAAATGGCAAAACGTGAAAAATGTCCATACGAAGACAAAAATTACAAAAGTTCCTCGCAAATATTGTTGCTTTTTTTGATTTTTGAAAATTCTTGCTAAGCCAATTTTATCAAACCACCAAAATTTTGAAGCTTTAGGTCGTAACATACTTGATATCGTACAATTCAGGTACAACACCACCATATGTAAGCTAGTTTTCACTTTCGACATTACGTAGTCAATGCCCTAACTCAGTAAGAACCTCAAGAATTACCCAAGACGCTAGTTTTGCAGATAAAAAGTCTAAATTTTATTTGAAATGTCAAATGGAACTTCCTCTTTCATTTTTTTTCAATTTTCCATTTATTATCGTGGTATCGTGGTAACTAATTAGCCCGTGATATAGATTATATACAAATTATAAAAATTTTCCCGATACAGTCTTTCACATCAATTTATTATCAAGGCTTTATAGCTGGTCCTACATCCGGATGAAAACATGTTAGACTCATGTTAGATAAGATCAAGAGAAGAATTCGATTCCAAAACATGCTTATAATCATACTTTCAAATACACAAGTTCCGTGCTCCATATAAGCACCATATACCGCCAGCACCACATAATTTCTCCCAGCTGTTCTTCTCACAATCTTCACAGAACAGGTTTTCTATGGGAAGCAACCAAAGTAAGACTGTGGCAAAAGTACAACCTCACACAACGTATGAGGGCCTATCTAAACCCAGCGCCGTGTGGCGTAGCTCTGGTGCTTCGTCAATGAGATGTTATTCTCTGGAATTGTTTGGTTCGAGATTTGATGGCTGTATAGATAACGATTTTCGCAGTCAAAATGAAAGACAACGTGAAAAAGGTATCAATTATTGTGTGACTAATTTAACTAGTTTTAGAAGTGCTGTTTGGTTTTAATTATTATTGCTAGAGAAAGCAGCAGATAACAAAGTGCATAATTGTCACTTGATGAAGTATATGTACCTCATAAGTAGAAAACATTAGAAGTCTACAGATATTGCAAATAACAGGATCTGGCCGTCGAAGCGTCTTCCCCACCCCCCACCCCCCCCCAAAAAAGTGTCACCAGAATTATTGAAAAATTTTAAAATGCCCCAGCTTCTTCCGAAGTGCGTTGAAATGCAGTCACAAATTTGGGTTGGCTATCCTCCATTTTAACCAAACAAACATCGCGTAAGCTCTTAGAAGAATGAAACTTAATTCATATTATTTCAAATCTTATATAGCGATCGAATCCTATGAAATTGAGCCTCCAGACGACGAGTTTCATCCTTTTCACCGAACACCAAATCATAAAATATTGAACGGTATGAAACGGCTTAATTTCCTTATACAGCACTTGCATACCATACATGGTGTTGCTAGACTTGTTTTCGTGCAGTCTGTTGATCATATTCACGATGAATGATAAGCAGACACCAGTTTATTGAGCGAGTGTGAAAGTGTCGTTCTAATGAAAACATTGCAAGTCGCCACACGCATTCATTAGTTTATGCATGTAACTTGAGGCAAGAGTAAATTCCTGAAAATTCCAGGTAAGAGAAATTCCTGAAAAGAACTTTTCACAGACACAGAGACTTTACTGTTAAATATTTGCGTGTTAAGAGACATAACTTTAAGAGTGCTGTCCACTAAATTTCTAGTTCCATCATCAAGAGGAGGAGAAAGACGTCATGAAACTCTACGATCTGTGACAGAAGTTCGTATCCTTTTCAAGTTTGTGCGCGGAAGACAGAGTATTTTCGTTTTCATTTTATCTTTTTCATTGTTAATTTTTCAATATAGTATAAGAACACTGTCTGCCATCCATGTCCGCTGTCCGCGTACGCCATCCACACCGCTTTTTATCTACACCTTTTTATTTACATCAAGATGATTTAACATAGCGGAAATCACCGTGACAATATCCCGGAAACGCCGTAAAATCATCCATTGTCAGAGGTAAAGAATATAAATCATGAAATAAATTTTGAAAATCTTGGAATTTCGGAGATTTTCCAAGGAATTCACAAAAATTGCATACATGAATTAAAACGAAATGTGCGAAATGAAAAAAGTCGCAAATTAGCGAAGCTTTCCCTCCTCCTCTTCCAAAATTGAATTTCTTCCATGCAATTTAGATGGCGTACATGACGTTTTAAAAAAAAAGATTTATGCGCTTCCGAGAAAATTTTGAGATTGATTTTGAACGTAAAAGTTTAAGTGGAAGTGAACTTTTGCAACGAATTTTCGGTTTTTATTCTTTTAATTATAATAAGCTCATGCCCAACGCTCTCGATTAACCAAGGCAAAGATATCTCTTATTAAAGTTTTTTAATGGCTTGTTCAGACGGTCCGATATGTTTGTTGGCAGGATGTTTTAGAAGATGTTTATAGTCGTGGCCGGGAGCAGCCACTTGTGTCATCCAAAACATTTATAGATATAAAATAAGACATAAGGATGTTTTAGAAGATGTTTATAGTCGTGGCCGGGAGCAGCCACTTGTGTCATCCAAAACATTTATGGATATAAAATAAGACATAATCTGAAAAACGATATCGATAAATTTTTTCGTATTTTTGTTCTCGTTTCCAAGTCTTTTTTAAATCTAATTTTTCACGCCAAATCAAATTTGGGAAATATGAAGACTGAAGTTTGGGGACAGTCGGCTTTCTTTAATCTTGTCCGATAAAATTAGCGCACGTTCTATTTCCATACATTTTTCCAAAAATAGCAGAATGACGGATCCTATTGTCGGAGGCTCACTTTATATGTGTTCACATGATCCGTTTTTTGTGATGCATAAAAATCGGATCCGACAAATCGGACCGTGTGAGCTTGGCCTTAAAACTAACGACGCTCTCAAGGACTGCTTTTAGCAACTGTTTTCAAGCAAACTGCAGATAAGCGAAATTATGGTTTTAGACAAAAAATCCGTATGCAGTATGCACGGAATCTAGCCATAATATATAACTTTAGACGAGGGGGTCCCGTGACATTGCTAAGACAACCAGACCATCGCATGTGGAAAACAAAAAATATTTCATTGAAAAGTGATCACATTAACGTTTCTCGTGAGCATATTAATTAGTGAAATTTTGGCGATAAAAGTGCAAAACGAACTGTAATCGCATTTTATCGTATTTTCACTTGATGTGCAAACGTTCAAGTAATTTTTGAGATGCACACTTGCACACGATAATCATACAGTAATGGCAGAAAGCAAGCCAGACGTTTAAATGTCATGGAAGGCTTGTCCTTTTGAAGAAAGAAAAATTGAAATAAAAATCAAGTCATTACCCTAACTAAACATTACTTTATTAAAATAAATTTATTGCCATTTGTATATACTAGGTGGAAAACGTTTTGATGTATGCACAATTATAAATTTTTTTCATTTAAACAAAGCCATTTTGACAACATCACCTTCACCATTTTTTTATAACCATGCATATGCTTACACCATTTTTGGTGTAAGCATATGAATGTTACTTGGGGAAATGCTAATTAATGAAACGAGTTGAAATGTACAATATTGTACTTTTGTATTGAACAATTAAACTTTGTGATGTAATTCCCTAAAAAAATGCAGTACTCAATGTGTTATTGCATCAACAACACATTCAGGAAGACATTGCATTACGCTTATACGACAGATGGGAAATTACCGTCAATACGAAATGTCCAGCTGCATTCATGCTGATCATGATCACTAGAAAAACAAACATATTCAATTCGATTTATGCAAGAAAAGAGCAATTCTAGAACACTTCATCTTTCGAACAACGAGCGCTGAATGTGATAGGAACTATTCTAAAATCAAGGTCAACAGTATATATTGCCACAAGTGCTCCACAACACGTCGGCAAGATAACAAGTCAGCAAAAGTCGTGCATCATCATACGGAAGAAGATAAAAACACTGTCGCTCAAGACAATTAGATCGAATGCAAAAAGAGTTACTCATGGAATAAAAACTCGGGAGTTGAACATCAATGGGAGTTGATTTATCTAACACAACGAAATTACACCCGCTTACAAGCGAGGTGCTTATCTTGTCATTGGTGTGGAAACCGATTGCCAAGATTATAGGCATCATAGGGAATACAATTATTGCAAAGTTTATTTTAATTTAAGCAAGAGGGAAGTATAAAGGAATACCAACAGCATCATCGTACCTGATTGGAAATTTGGCAGTCGCAGATCTCTTGAATTGTGTTACTTTCTATCCGATTTGGATTGCAGAATTCACGAGAACAATGAGGGATGCGGACAGCAACCAAATGGTTTTCTGTAAATTTAGTCGATGTACTAGTTGGATGCTCTTATCGGTTTCGGTCGCAAATCTTTTGTTGACTACATTAGACCGATACATTTACATCACGAAGCCTTTAAAATATCCTCAAATAATCACAAATAGACGTACAAAAATATCTATTGCGGGGATATGGTCTCTGGGAAGTTTTATACTCCTGCACTTTGCATTTTAATACAGGGCATATCCAAAATTTAGAAGCTTATGTTTCCTGTCGAATGAAATTGCATGGACGACCACAGTTTTAATAGGCCACATTCCATTTATTGTGTTGATCGCCTTGAATTTGAGAATACTAACAATTGCAAGTCGACAGCGCAAGCAAATCCTGGCTGAGAACAAAAGCCAGCTAGAGCATAACAAAAATGTAACCATGCTACGTAAAGTACTTCGCACCTTGCGCACTGTTAAAACCGTGTTGATTATCGTACTTGTCTTTTTCTTCTGTTGTTTCGGGCCAGGCGCAGTGGCCAGAATCTTGGTATACACGTGAACGGAAACATGCCAGCATGTCTGGTATGTCGTCATCAACTACGAGCTGTACGGAATAAACTCAATTGTCAATCCTTTTACTACGGTATGAGACACGTTAAATATAGAAAGGCATATCAAAATGCTTTATTGAAGTTTTTTCACCGTTAATTCAACTCGTGGTGTTTGATGAAGCTTGAGCCCTTAAATTTCTTGTAAACGAAAAACTAATCTTACGGAATTTTTTTCCAACAACCTCTTAAAAAATACATACAGCTAACATGAAGTCCATTCCACACAATGGCCACCAAATCTTTCATAATCATCTTAATTCTTTATTAGGACAATTCGATTTAAGAACTTTTATTGGAGCAGCTGCATGTCAAACGACGTTTTAAGCAATATGCTAGCTGCTTTAAGCTTGTTATTAATGTAAAATTTGATTTGATGACGCACTAACTTTCATCTTGAAGAATAATGATTAGTTGAAATTGAAAATAATGATGATCTATTTGTGTTTAAATATTTTGACGAATAAGAAAAATAAGCTTGGCATTTCTAAATTGGCATTGTCGTTACTCCAGAAGATTTCATAATAGACTACTGTCGTTACTCCGGAATCTACTTTCGAAAGATTTTGATGCCCTAACAGTAAACTCAGCTAGATTTTGATGCCCTGACAGTAAATTCAGCTAGATTTTGATGCCCTAACATCTCAAATGTCAGCTATAAAGAAGCTATTTTTGGCTAATGTAACAGAATTTTCAGTTGCTTTGTTCAAGAAGCAACTTTAATGATAAATACGTGCCTTCTTCAGCAGAAACTAGTTTAGAATCAAAATTCAAACAAGACTTGCACCAATTTTGTTTGCACCGATAATGCATAAAGTGTTTAAGGATTGCGTTGATGACCTTTTTTTAAAACCAACTGTCCTCTCATAACCTACTATAAACCATTTTTTATATAACTCACATGAAGTGCATGGTTTGCGTTCCCTCCAACAAACTAGTGAAATAATAGCTGATAGTTGCGATAAACGTTCTCATGCTTTTCCACGGCAAAAGGAAACAATTTATGTGACTCTCTTTATTTTTGTTTTATCACAATGTATTTATAAATTGCATGATGTTTTTTGTTGAAAACATTCTTGAAAATTTTCGGATGTAATGTAAAGTTTTTTATTCCTATCTTAAATGTGACAAACTACTTATGTAAATATTTTTCTCGACATCTCTTCAATATTATTTAAGGAATGGAGAATACACCATCTCGATTTGAGAAATGAGGTGCTTATGAAAACCGATGACATATATATCAGTAAATATTTTTTCTTAACTTCTGTCTGTTAAAGCCCAAGAGTATCGTGGTGTGTTTTCATCATTTCCATACTTTAACTTCGTGCAGTCAAAAGTACTTGATGATGTAAGTATATTTTTGCTCGTTTTTTAAAGTTTTGGTCTTACTCAGGTGAACTACGCTACAAATAATTATTATAGTAAAAGTAAAAGATCGAAAATCCACTTAAGGAAATTTTACGAGTTTAGGAAATTCCTGTCCTCTTACATATATATAATCCCTGTACTGCTTTTTTACACAGCGTTTGAATCTTCTAGGTGCTTTACACAGATAAACCAATTGTTGTTTGTTCTCCTACCGGTTCCGGGAAAACGGTCATTTTTGAATTGGCTATAGTCAGATTGTTAATGAACTTTCCAGACAGGGAAAAAAACTTCAAGATTGTTTACAGTAAGTTGTATTTTGGAGAAATATGCATTGCCAATGCACTTACATATGTTCTTTTTATCTTTATTATCCTGATCCATTTAATTTTTCCACTCCTGTTCGTTACTTTTCACTAACAAATTGAATAAATTACATTCGAGTGACATTCACTTGTCATCCCTTGTTATAAAATAATAACAATGAAATGCCTGCGCTGATAGATCTATAGCTGAGTTTGCATTAGCTTGTGCAAACTGATCTGAGCTTAACAATTAAATCAATCAATCAATCAATCAAAGAGAATTTGCAAATCAATCATAAGTACATGTTATAGGAGGCGTTTGTGAGAGCTTTGGGCAAGTGCAAACCATTGACTTTTCGTCTTCGGGCTTGCACTACTCTCGAGTTCTCCGAAAAGTTTCATCGGTTTTCACGAGCTTGTATGAACACAGCAAACAACTTTTATTTGTTAATTATAAATTTTTCGTCACTATATTTTACAGTGGCACCCATGAAGGCATTGTGTAGTGAAAGATACGATGATTGGTCGAAAAAATTCAATCCTATTGGATTAACATGCAAAGAATTAACTGGTGACAGTGAATTGGACGATTATCTAGAATTGCAAACAGCAAATATTTTCATGACGACGCCGGTCGGCTTCCAAACGAATGCTTTTAGTAGCATACTTCATTTAAGTAGTTTTGAAACATATAATCTTGATCCACCACAACTAGACCTGAGTATGATGAAATTTTTTTCCAGGAAAAATGGGACAGTATGACAAGGAAATGGAAAGATAACAAAGCTCTGGTGCAAGCTGTACGATTATTTCTCGTTGACGAGGTATCTAGCTGTGACTAACTTTATAATAATGGTAGCTACTAAACATGGTGTCCCAGTACATGTACATCAAACAAATAACTTGCAATCTTTTTTATATAAAAAAATAACCAGGTGCATTTACTGAACGACGAGTCACGTGGACCAACAATGGAAGCAGTGATAAGCAGAATGAAAACGGTCAAGACTACAGAAAGTCGAATCAGTCATCGAAAAGAACAAATATAAGATTCCTGGCCGTATCAGCCACCATACCTAATGCTAATGACGTGAGTAACATCGTGGTTTGAGCAGGGGTGAAATTATAACGTTAATTAGAGGAGTGTATATTGATATATTGAAAATAATTGAAAGAAAATTAGCTTTCTAAAGCAATCAGCAGGGCATAACTAATTATATAATACACCCCAAATAGCGTTTTAGTTTCTCGTCTGGGTTGAGAGCTTGACTAAAGACATTAGGTTGACTACATTATGTTATTCCTTTCAGATTGGAAAATGGTTTGGAACAGACGATGATCCGGCAGCAACATACAGGTATTGCAACTTCATACGAGTATTAGATCGAAAGGGGAATTCGAAGACTTATTAATTTCATCCAAACACTCGACTAGAAATATGTGCGGCTCCTACTTCAATTACAGGTAGATAAACACGCTAGAGAAGAGTGCTTCATCTTATATTTAGCACAGTTTGCATATTTTATATGCGCAGTATAAGAATTGAACATTAAATTTCAAAGTACTATCGACAAACAAGCTCCAAAAAAATTCATCCATACATACAAACTCTAAAGTTTTGAAATAAGATTCCTTTTGATAAGCACTTGGAATACATAGCTTGTTTTAACATCACACGAGTTATTAAGGAAACAATGTAGTTACCAATTAAGTTTCCATTTCTGAGCTTTTCTTGTGAAAAAACCTACTCGCGTTATAAAATAATGAAAATAATTAGTGAACTAATCATCAAACATCTCATTCATTTCTAGTATGGACGACAGCTATCGGCCAGTAAAACTACGCAAAGTTGTAATAGGCTATCCGTGTAACAACAAAATCACCAACTTTCGATTTGATCTTTCATTAAATTACAAACTGAACAGCATCATACAGACATACTCCGAAAACAAGCCAACATTAGTGGTATGTGTGAATTATCCACTTATTCATTTCATAGTGAAACGACAAAATGAAATGTCTTGATTATTCTTCGAATCGATCGTGATATATGTAGAAAAAGGAGCACTTTACGGTGGTTTAAGGTTATCTGCAACATAAAGTGCGCTTGCATACAATGTTTTCTATTCATTACATAAAACAAACTACCTAACATCACGATTGAAAAACGTCTTGAGCAATTTTAAATATTTTATTAGTGATGTACTAAAATACGTGTTTCAAGAGTCAGTTTTCTCCTGCATTAACCTGAGTGATTGACTCCTTTAATTACGATCATTGCATGACTCATCCTGCATTGGGTGGATGCTACATTCAGAGTACTCGATGTGACTTGCACTTCTTGACTTTCTTCAACGATGTCACCCTGTTCATCTAGTTCAGCAAAACCAAGGAGTTTCGACATTCACATAGTCTTTTACTCTTCACGTGTACACGCCATGCTTTGTTAAATGGTAAAATAGTCAAGAAAATAACGTTCTGTAACTGATCGTTGTAAAATTTACGCTCGAATTTGATGATCTTGAAACCGCGCGTTTTATCTCCCAAGACTTCTTAGTGACGTAGCCAAGGACGAAATAGAATTAAAACCAACCAATAGTTCCATAATAATTTAGAATAGAAATGGCTGGATGCGTGTAATTAGAAATTTAAAATAAGAATTAAGCATTGATTTACGCTTACAACACCAACATCCCCATTATTGTAAGAAAATTTATCTTTAGCCTTCGTCTATAGGTGTTCTCCGAGTTAGTTAAATTACCCAACACACTTTAATGATTTCTAGTAATTTCTGGTATCTTTTATTTTATAAAAATACGTATGAAACAAGCTGCTATATTTTTCCCATTTATTGCACTACTGTTTTTTCTTTTGCAAAGTTTTGCTCCACAAGAAAGAGTACCCAACAAGCTGGAAGCATACTGATAAAAGATGCTCGCTTTGTAATGAGTTCGGAACACAGACAAAGGTACAGTGATGTGATGATATTCGATTGGAAAGTTATTTTTTTTCACTGAGACATATGTACTTCTGATTACAACATGAAGTTCATCATTACCAACACTGTTGTCAGTTATAAAATCACAAAAAATTATGCATGCTTTCCACCCACGTATACACCAGTAATTAAAAGCATGTTAAATGTAAACATAAAATGCATTAAATCTTAGATTGCAGCGTTGTGCAAACACATTACTGAATCGAAACTCAGAGGTAAATACTCATAAAGTTTCAATTTCCAAATATACAGATTGAATATACATTGGTATTGTCGATTGTATTCATTGCAGATCTGGTGATTTGTGGTGTAGCTTATCATCACGCAGGTTTAGATTCCTCGGATAGGAAATTAATTGAGGCGATGTTCACGAATGGAGAATTGCCAGTTTTGTGTAAGTGCTTCCAGAATATTTCGAAAAATTTATCGTCCATCGAAAAAAGATAACACACGAATGTATCTTTTTAGTTGCAACAAGTACCTTGGCTATGGGGGTAAGTTGATTTTGTAGTTAATGCCATACATAGAACTGAAGAATTTTCGCTGTCAATCGAGTGAAAGAAAGGGCTGCTTGCAATGTTACAAAGAAATTTGCATCGAGTAGGTTTGAAAATAAAAGCGTTAAGGCGGCCCTGAAAGTCGTAAACAATGAAAACATGGATCAGTAATTGTCAAATAAAAACAATTTGAACGCATAAATTATAGCCACGAATCTCATTTTAATATCGCTTATCTCAACAGGATATAAAGACACGAATCATGCTCAAAACAAATAGATAATTTTTTCTGGCCATTTTCTTCAAGATGAGACGTAAAATCTTTTATCCAGTTTTGCTTTTGCGAGAGTTTCTTTACTTTTAAAACCAACTCAAGTAAAGTATTCAAATTCAAATGATTCATCAAAGAACGTAGTGTATTGTCATTTTACAAGATATTTATCCAATACATTTGTAATACGAATTATCGTTGGCTTCATAGCAATAGTATACGCATCGACAGATATAAACAATTTGTCTCCTTTCCTTCAGGTGAATCTTCCCGCCCACCTCGTTATCATTAAATCGACAATGCAATATGTCAAAGGGGTTTTTGAAGAATATGCTGAATCTCAAATATTGCAAATGACCGGCAGAGCGCGAAGGCCACAGGTATATAGTAGTACATTCAATGGTGCAGAAAGTTCTGTTTCATTTCTGTAACATTTTTTTTGACTCTGAAGATGACTACCGCCAAGGTTGTCGAAACGTCAGTCAACAACAACAAAAACAGTCCTTCTCAGGACTATACCAACCTTGACGATCTTCATTCACTTGAATTGCACCACCAATTACTATTTTTTCTCAAATGTAGTTCGATAATTCAGCCACAGCAGTTATAATGACGAAGGATTCCAATAAGGTAGAAATTTGTCATTGGATCAGCAGAAATTTAAGTGAATAGAGCTTTACGAATATCGTTAAAGTATACGATTTAGTTAATTTATCAACAATTGGCTTGTTCATTTTTGAGTATACTTTGCTTCCTAATAAAATACTGCAGTTAAAATACGAAGCTCTCATTGGAGGAACGCAAAAGATCGAAAGCAGGTGAATGTAAACAAATACGGCAATTCCTTGTCACTAGCATACAACAAAAAATGTTATCATAGCTACCTACGTTATACATCTCTGCAAATTTTTCTCTACAGTTTGCACAAAAACCTTATAGAACACTTGAACTCAGAAATAGTTCTAAACACGATAACAGACGTTTCCATAGCGTTGGGATGGTTGAAATCTACATTTCTGTACTTACGGATACTGAAAAATCCAATGTATTACGGTGCGTTAACGATGTGTTTTTTTTCTAAAATTAGCGATTTTCGAATCAGTGACGTGGCCAGACATAAACTTTCGAGGGGCATACTTTCGAACTCGTGAGCCTTTCTCAGCTTTCTAGGGGGGTGTTAGGGAACTTGCTCCCCCTGCAAGTTCTAAATCTAGAGTACCTCAATAGCGATTTCCCGTGCTTTGGGGGTATGATTTTGAGGGTGTGTATTTGGTATATGTAATAGTATAGTTTCGACTATACGTATAAACAGGGACGAGTGAGTTTTTTTATAAGGCCCCGTCCACTTGTATACGGACATTTTTGAAAACGGAAGTTTTTCCTCCGTTTTGGCCTTACGTCCACACGTAAACGGCGTTTTCGGTGACCATAAACGGAGGTTTTCGAATACGCTCTCCAGAGTGAAGACTTTTGAAAACGACGGTTTTGTGTTTACGTGTGGACGGGTGAAAACGGAGGTTTTTGAAAACGACGACGTCAATAATCGAGTCCAGTCTCATAATTGAGTGGTCCGAGTACTTTTTAAAATGGCGGGTCACAAGTGCATTGCTATTTTATTGGAATAATTTCAAATTTGATAGCATGCATTCACTTGCATGTTGCAGTGATAAATACTAAAGAAAGCGGGTGAATATTATGAAGATGCTTTATTTGTCACAAAATGCCACAAAATATAACACTCGACTTTGCCTTTTCCTTTGGTGGAGCCTTCATTTGACTTTATACCATTCTAATTTTTCTATAAACTTATAAAATCAACAGAGCGCCCCACGATCCAAAAGAGACGTTAATAAATCCAAAATACAAATAATAAATATTGCAATTTGATGCTGCCAAAGTTTGAAGAATCTCTTATTACAAGTAAATACGCATGCTCAGTGCTTACAAGTATTGAATTTCCTCTGTTTTTGCGTATACGTGTAAACAGGCGAAAACTATTCAAATACACTACGCGTGGTCGCAAATATTTTCAGAAACGGAGGAAAAAATCTCCGTGTTTTTATAAATCCGTATACGTGTGGACATGGCCTAAGACTGCAGCGAAGTAGCCCAAGTCTGAAGGGCGAGAATATCTGTCAAAGTACGCTTAATAGCCATTATAGACATATTTTTTCTGCTCTTAAGCCTGGGCCACACTATCGTCTATATTGACGAAAACGAAACGAAAATTCGTGCACGAAATGCATGCCAGACACGACGAAAAATTACAAGCATGTTTGCAAAGCCAAAACTTTTTTGGCCAATAAGCAAGCGGCGTTTTTGACGGATTATAAAAAATGGCGATATCTAAAAGAAAAAGATTACTTCTTCTTAAGAAAAAGTTATTGCTTTTTCAAATACAAATCAAAGTGTCACCATTTCCAATTCGGCTCGTCAGTGGCAGCAACAGCACTAGCTCTTTTAAAATTGTACTGCCTTTTGTACTGCATGAACGAATCACGCAGATTACACCACTTTTTCATGATAGCGTCAACTGTAAAATGTTTAAAAAATAATGGAAATACATGATTTGATATAAAAAGTGTGTCGGCGGCTATCAATAATACTCACTATCCCACGCCAAGTCCGTAATTTTATTAAAGTCATCCAAAACATCTTGCCAGTGATTTCTTTTCTTGTTCCTCGAGTCCTTATAATTCGGGTGACTTTTATCATACAAAATTGGTTTTTCTCGCATCAGATTTATCAAAACTTCCTGCCACTCCGCCATGTATGGGTACAAAGTCTAATATTATTAGCCAATAGTATGCGTTTTTGTTGATGAAAAAGGTCAAAAGTTCAACTCTTCTAATACGCACAAAAACGAAATTTTCGTCGAGTTTTCGTTCAAAATTTTCGTTGCGGCAGTTTTCGTTCTAATTTTCGTCGATATGGACGATAGTGTGGCCTAGGCCTTAGACTTTAAAAAACTTGGTGAACAACTTGTCGATAAAACAAGTTGGGATTGGTAGTTACCGCACATTTTCCTAATTTCTATCACAGTTTCGTCTTTTAGCGAGAGCATTACCTTTGTTCATTGGGAGCTGAGCACCCCCTTGACCCCCCACCCCCACTCCCCTTGTTTACGCCACTGTTTTTAATTTGAGAATGTGGGGTGTCTAATTGTCCATGTATTTTTTATAGTATATTGTACATTGAAATGAATAAGTAACTGGAAGGCTGCCTTAAGATTATCATGTCTGTACTTGCATAAAGACAAGCGTGTCTGCAAAGAGATAAAGTCCCGCATTTTAGCTTACTATCGTTATAAACTTTTATTAGGCCTTTTTCGATGGAATTTTAACGAGAGGTTTGACAATGTTCAAAACCAAGCGTGAAAAAGGTAACTGTTATTTACTTAAGGTATCCCAAAAGGTCTTGAAATGGACGTCTTGGAAAAAAAGCTTCAAGGTAATGCCAAGCTCTCTGACACAATGAGCAATATATAAAAAATGTCTGATACAAGATATAGTCCAACAAAATTAAAACTGCTGAATTCTTTGTATTGTGAGCAAAGGATTCAGGGCTTGTACTTTGTGTAAGAAATGGCAACTGAATTACTGCATAGAATACAGTTTTTTGTTCTTCATTAATTGTCAATATTCTTGTAATAAAAAATTGTATGAAAACAGATATGTGTGTGAAAAGCTTGAACACTCTACGGAATCATGGACTGGTACAAATGGATGAAGGATTTGACCTCAGACCAACAGGTACATATAAATCATCAATACCCATCATGGCTTAGAGGAATTTAAAAGCCCAAAAGCAACCGTACTCATACATGTCACGCATAACTTTACAGATATGGGCAAACTAATGGCAAGATACTGTTTGGCATTTGAGTCCTTCAAGTTATTTTTGGGATTACAAGGCGATGAAGATTTAAATGATTTGGTAAAACAAGTAAAACTTCCTGATGAATCTTATGTATAAAACACAGAAAGTTGCTATGCAAACTCTTCTTACGATGTTGCAATCTCATCACGAATAAGAATCATATCAAAGCTACTTTCAACTACTTATATAGGTTAATATCGTATGTCAATGTAAGGAATTCATTGATTTGAAGCTGAGGAATAACGAAAAGAAAGTGCTCAATACTTTGAACAAAGACAAACATCGACCCACCATTCGGAAATATATTTACCGATATTTCGTGGTTATTGCGAGCCTTGCAACTAAAAATATTCAGCAAATGTCTGTATATTTGAAGGTTTCCAATCAATGGAAGAATTAAGACTACGGAGCATAAAATCAGCTGGTATAGTATAGTTTGTTTAAGGTTGTCTGTTTCTGAACATTTGTAATGTGCAACATGCGACTTTCATGTTAATGATGTAAAGCTATATAATGATGAAGCAGAGAAAAGCAAATTATATTACAATATTTCTTATACCGAAAAAGGAGGTATCAAAACTTTATGGGGTGGTGCACATTCTGTTTCTTTCGAGGAAATGACGATTTCCTATATCTTCTTTTGAAGTTTGCTGCAAGCGTCTCTTGGTTGCCTGCATATAAACGAATTTTCTCTGAATCAAGATGTTACGGTAATTATTCTATGCAATGCAATTTAAAAGAACTTCAAAATGCACCAGTTAAATATTATTCCATCAAAAACTAACCAGGGACCGCAGAAGATCGATGATTGGGGGGGGGGGCTAGTGTTCATACATGCATGATATGCCGTATTAAGTTCCCTCGAAATCCATTGTTTTCTACGGATTATAGCATGGATGTATGAATATGAGCCCTCCCCCCAACTATCGATCTTCGGAATTTCCTGCTAAAATTGTTTTTTTAAAGACGAAATTTCATTCAACAATCACCAGGCGCCCTTCCCATGTCCTGGTAATTTATAGCTATCTTCCCAAGTTATAGGCACGTCTATGTAATTTTCTAGAAAATCTTTCGATCGGGACAACGCGTTTCAAAATGTAAGAATAATTATTATAATAAAATAGACTTTGTCGTGGTGACAAATCTGAAAATAGTTCTAAAGATAACATACCATGAGACTGTTTAAGAACTATCAACTTATTATATTACTTTTACCATTCACCGTGGTATTTACTATCTTTAGAAATAATTATTATAGGTTGAATATTGCATTTCTATTAATTATTTCAATTGCAAAGTTGAACTAAGTTGCCGTTTTTTTGACAGGTTTATATGAATTTTGTATGCTGCAATGCAATCACAACTTATTGATGAACGCACTTCAGTTGAGCAAATGATTCAGATCAAGGTGCGTTACTCTCAATTAAGTATAACACTAAATATTAACATTTGACACATGATAACACATATACAATAAGTGCTACAATTCTGAATTAGAGATGTCTTAATTATACATATACAATACACAATATAAGCTTGAAAATTGGTAATCCAGGCACTAATGTTGAAAAATAAAAGTTTCTCCGGATTTTATAAATGATTTTTATTGAGCTTTCGAGTCGTTGCTTCGAGCCTTCATCAGAATAATAAGGAAGTTATCTAATTACAGTTATTTTTAGCTTGTAGATGTTTTGAGCGTCTAATTGGATTAGCGGGTGGATTAATATGAGTGGATGGTGTGAATTGCGTAGATAACTTCCTACTATTCCGAAGAAGGCTCGAAGCACCGAGTCGAAAGATCAACAAATCATTTATAAGATCCACAGACACTTTTATTTTTTAACACACATTATATATAATGCTTCTGACACAAAATTTTCTGCAAGTTCTTATTACTTTTATAGAAGCAGCACTAATAAACAATAGGAATAAAACCAACAAACAAAAGAATTTCTTAATTTTGTACCCCAATTAAATGCAACTTCCGACGTCAAATATTAAAACTCAAAAACCCCGATAACTCGCAAGGAAAGAGGACACAAACTGTAACCGAACAATGACCAACATGTATATTGATCATATTAATGTATTATTATGATCAATAACGACCTGGATATATTCGCTTTCATAAACACTTCAAAATCATACTACAAATCAAACGAAAATGCTATGCATATATTTGCACTGTACTGCATACAATTTCATTGCAGAATCTGGGAAAATTCAAAATATGTTTCAAAGCAACTGGATAAATTTGGTATGTATAAATGGTCGTTGAAACTGTTAGAAAGCGCTTATTTTTGAAGGTGTCCAAAAAAACAAAGATGTGCAGGTTTCACGATTGCACTAATTTGACATAATAGGAGTGACAATGTCGACTATGTTCGTTAACGCGGTACTAATATCATTTCAAAAGATTGAAGAAAAAAACCCGAGAGAAATTGAGTTGGTAAGTGCTGCCGTGTTCCACTTCAATCAATCACCATATAGCCATGATTTATCAAGTATTCAAATTTGCATCCTACCTATGTTCATTTAAAGATCGTCAATCGACACCCACCATTTGGCAACCAGGTACATTGAGGCAAATAATACATTCAATAACTCCCGTACACAACCCAAGAAATACACTGGTCAGTCAAATGACCCACAAGAGTAACTGGAAATTCATTATTTGAAAGCTTGTGTTCAGCGAATTAGAAAGTAGCTTTATACCATCAATATGCTCTCGTTAAAGATTTATTTACGAGCGTATTTTGAAAACATTTTGTCGCATGAAAAAGTGTGCTGGTATGCAGGTTGAGTATTTATACATACAGACTTACTTTTTATGTGCTAGGTGAAAGAAGCTGTCGCATGTCAGTAGATATCGTGCAGCTTTGTCACACTTTTGTCACGGAGCTCTTACCCGTGCCAGTTAGTTTCCAGTCCCCTGAAGTTGATCGGTGCGCGCGCATGTCAACCGGAAATAGGGTTTAATAAACATGGCATGGCATTGGATGGCGTGAAAATCGGAAATACGACAAAGCTGGAAGTTGCATGCTATTGACAAAGTAACATTAGATCCGTTTCCTTTTCTCAATCGAAGGTAAAAACGGTAGAAAACGAGGTAATTGCATTTTATAGCTTATACTTTATCGAAAGGTTTACATTTTATCTCTTGAAACAAATGGAATTGAATGTAGACATTGATCTGACATGAAGAATGAACAAATTGCTTTTGGAGTCAGAAAAGAATGAAATAACTGTACGTCAAAGTTGTTAGAAAATAAACTTTTAGACTGCTATGCTGAAGAAATTGCTGCAATGATAAGCGCTGAAGTAAATAAGAACTGCAATGGATGCATGATTGATCACCCCTCTCAACGCAAGCATGACTGTCTCATGATGGAGCATGACGAGCGTATGTTGTTGCATTTTGATGATGCCTTGGAAAATGTGTCCGAAGAGATTGTGATCAAAGATTTTATGAAAAGCATTGAAGATGTCAAGCCACCCGTTAATGGACTTGAGATACTAAAATACACTTGTAACGATTGGCGTAAAATGTTTGTTTCGGATAAAAAGAACAAACTTGAAACACGAGTCGTTAAGCTTTTGTAAATATATATTTTTATTTATTCCCGTTCGATTCGTAAGGTCAAACCATTACACATTGTTCTAAAAGAAATATAAGAAACATGTATGAATTTGCTGCTTACATGTTAGCACTTCTGTATACATATACGTAAGCGATATAATATTACATAGAAAAAAACATTTTACGACAACTACAAACGAATTAAAACTTACTCGATAAGGTCTTTTATGAGACGATACATGCCCACACGAGGGTTTTACAAGATAATCATCACAGTTATCACATTTTTCTAAAAAAAAAAAAATCGACGCCTCTGTTAAAGTTAATACAAACACCCTAAGGAACAGAAAAAAGACAAACGGTACTTACTGAAGGTATAAAACGACGCTTATGGCGAGGCCATCCTTCTTCGATTGCATGTTTGGATATTGCATCTCCACAAAGGCTCTCTGTTTCGTAAGTGGTTGAGATACACTACACATGCGCTTGAGATGTGACCTTCGTTGCCATCTCGCAAATGTAAATTATAAATTACCATTGAATAGTATGATCTTGAATAATGTGGCGTGGGTAAGATCTGTGCAGTATCCTAGCTTTTAATTCTGTCCTTCTTAGATTTACAAACGTTATTTTTATTTTAGTATGCGTTTGTTTTACTGGTTGCTAGAGATTGCATTAGGAGAATTTAAACGAAGAAGTTAGGGCAATAAACTGATAAAAGTGCAACGCGCGTTTGATATTGATATTGCAGTAATTGATACCACAAGCGTATCTGCCTATAGTGGTTTAAATTTATTAACTTATGCATTCAAGATGCGATGTGGCACAACAATTTTAGTTGTTTCAGGCTTGCAATAACCGGTTTACTGCTGAAAGTCGCGTATATAGGTAGAAGTGTGCCGTAAGCGTAATATTATTCGAGCTATTTCATGCATCATCACTTTAGGGAATTTCCCTTCTCATCTTATGAAGGCGCAAATTTATTTCAAAAACATCGAGCTTCGCGCAGTATCTATAGCTCTAAGAGGCTTTCTTGGCATGTTTCCATTAAACAGATAGAGATAGAAACAATAGCAGAGGATTTTTACAGCTATGGAATATTAAAGTAATTTTCACACTAAACTGAAAATCAAAAGATTTTATTGAACAACGTCAGTTCAAAATAAGATACAAGTTGTTATGAAACGAATTCATCTAACAAAGTTAATCTTCTTCATCATTGGCAATCTCACCAAGGCTGTACTCTTTTAAAAGTCTGTTGATGAGAAACTTTCTCTTATCAATAGCTGCTTCCATAGCTTCCTGTGGATCAAAGTCGTCATTTTCTATAAACCCTTTCTTTGTATGCATTATTTTTCTGTGGATGGGATCTTTTTTCAGTTGGCTTATCCACATAAGACGTTGCATATAAATACTTTCCAATTCTTTTTGAAGTTTCGGTAGAATGTTATAATATGCTTGATTTTCAGCTGTCTGCTCATCCAGACCACTGTTCACAAGGCTTTCCTTCATCTCATCGAAATCTACATTACTTCTTTCCCTTGCTTCTTCTATCAAAGGTATCCAAGGATCAGTTTCTTCTCCAGTTTCAGCCTCATTTTCTATTGACATTGAACTTTCAGATTCATCTGTTGAATATGTAGAAACATTATCTTCGAAATGCATTCCCTGACTGTCTGAATCTGATTGAGACATTTTTTCCTCATCCCTTAGTGGACAGTATTCTTTTTCGTGTCTGCGTAAGTTGAAAGCTCGATTGAATACTTTTCCACAATATCTGCAGCTCATTCCGCCGGCACTGCCTTTTTAGAAATGAGACATTTTATGTACCAATGTGCATTTGTGGGCAAATGAGCAAGTGTGTTGAAGCAGTTATGAGCATTTGACCAAGTGCTCATAAGTAATTATGAGCATCAATGAGCATTGCTCATCTGCTCATAAGACGAATAAAGGCTTAAACTATTGTATATAAATTATACCAAGTTGTTATCATAAAGCAATTTTGTTCATTATCTAACATGAGAAACTTATATTAACTTTTTTGGGGGGAGTGGGGGGGGGAGTTTTATTCATTTATGGGTATTGCTCATTTAAACTCCCACCAAAAATAGTTGCTCATGTTAGATAATGAACAAAATTGCTTTATGATAACAACTTGGTATAATTTATATACAATAGTTTAAACCTTTAGTCGTCTTATGAGCAGATGAGCAATGCTCATTGATGCTCATAATTACTATGAGCACTTGGTCAAATGCTCATAACTGCTTCAACACTTGCTCATTTGCCCACAAATGCACATTGCTACATAAAATGTCTCATTTCTAAAAAGTGCTCTGCAGATATTGTGCAAGTGACAAGTTGAGAGAGGTGATCAATCATGCATCCATTGCAGTTCTTATTTACTTCAGCGCTTATCATTGCAGCAATTTCTTCAGCATAGCAGTCTAAAAGTTTATTTTCTAACAACTTTGACGTACAGTTATTTCATTCTTTTCTGACTCCAAAAGCAATTTGTTCATTCTTCATGTCAGATCAATGTCTACATTCAATTCCATTTGTTTCAAGAGATAAAATGTAAACCTTTCGATAAAGTATAAGCTATAAAATGCAATTACCTCGTTTTCTACCGTTTTTACCTTCGATTGAGAAAAGGAAACGGATCTAATGTTACTTTGTCAATAGCATGCAACTTCCAGCTTTGTCGTATTTCCGATTTTCACGCCATCCAATGCCATGCCATGTTTATTAAACCCTATTTCCGGTTGACATGCGCGCGCACCGATCAACTTCAGGGGACTGGAAACTAACTGGCACGGGTAAGAGCTCCGTGACAAAAGTGTGACAAAGCTGCACGATATCTACTCATGTCTACCTAAGTATGAAGTCAGCATTGATCAAGTAAGGCTAACCATGTGAAAGACAGATTACAGAGTAGGAAAATGAGATAATTCCAATTGTACAGAATATATCGAGGCTTCAGTTCTTATAGACAAAAGATTTCTTGCCAGAGATATAATAATTGCCTAAGATTTGATTTTCTTAACAAGTAACGTGGAATATCAACTCCGAATGATGCAAATTTGACCAAAATCAGGTCCCTCGTGCTTGACGCCTCCACCCAGCCGTACAGTCAAACAAAAAATTTTATAGTTGGATTTTAGCACACTTCGTGACAGTTTTCTTAAGAAAACGCTTAAAGGTTGCAACCTTTCAAATCTATGCTTTGTTAAGTCCCACGCGAGAACCAAACAACTATGTTTATATTAGTGCAGAAACGTTTTTTACAATGGGCACGCGCGCAACACAAAGTCAGTCGTCTAAAAGATATGAAATTCATTATAGACAACGAGCTACAGCGTATCCAAGGCGGAGCTGATGATATCTATAACGATGGTGAACCATGAAAAACGTCAAGAAGGAGGAAAGTCGACAGGATTTCATTATTGTCTTTTATTAATTGGAGATGCTGATAATTTTGTTGTGAACAAGCAAAGACTATCGTAAGTTTTTATTTAAGAAATGAAAGATGTTTACTGTGTTTGTACGGGCATATGAAAACAGAGGAGACGTTTAGAAAAATCTAGAGCAGATCAGTACAAGCTCCGAGGTTTGCATAAGCCATCGTGCAAATACGAAAAACATCTTTTGCATTTCTTTTATAAAATAACAAAAATACTAAACAGAAAAATTCAAAACAAACGTTTTCTCTATTCATGATTGATTTGCAAATTTGATTTGATAGTTTTGTTTGATTGAGCACAGACTGGTTTGCACAGGCTAATGAAAACTCAAGTATAGACTAATCAGTGCATCTGCTTTATTAATTGTTCTTATTCTATTGGATATTAAGTGTCAAACGAAGACAGCATAAACCAATTGCACGGCTTAAATTGAATTAGACCAATTTCGCCTCAGTTTTATTTATATAAAAGCACTCAAAACATATCTTTTTATTTCGTACACTGAATTTCTCAATCCATAAAGTATATTTTTCCACATTAATGTTACAGGTCCATGTATTATCATGGCAAACAAAATTCCTTTTTTCCACATAAAAATAATTAGGTGTGTCATTATGAGTTGTGCGAATTTATTAATCATAACCAAGCACTTTGGCTTTTCGTGTGCAATTTTAGCGATTCGATATTCTTTGAAACTGAAATATGGTCGAAAACAATTGAAGTCAACAGGGCGCATGCTGCTTCAGAATTAACAATAGACGTCATCAGCCAAGATTTAGGTAACTCACAATGTATAGGTAAAAAAATTGATCCATCAAAATATCGCCTTCGTGATTTATCATTGCCATAGTTGGATCAAATGCTCTAAAATTCGTGATGGTACATAATGGTAATATTGAAGGTAATAAGAAGAAAAACTGGGACATCTTCTATTCTGTGGGAATCAAAGTTTTCAGCGCAATTCGCACACTTATCACAGATTTTTGCATGTACTGTTGTTAATGTTAAAATGAAACCAAGTATTCATTATCATTCATTTACACACGAGAAATTTCGTTTAACTATCTTATTGAAGACAATTACGCCATGAGCAAATTGAATGGACTATTTTCATGCAGGTTCATTTATGTTCACCTGCTCGAGAGTTTTCACAAACGTCTACGAGGCTTGCCTAAGCCTGTGCAAACATAAGAAAAACATCTTTTCAAATTATTATGAAATAATAATAATGCGAAACAAATAAATTTAAACCAAATATTTCAATTTTTGTCCAACACGTTGATTGATTTGCAAGTTCTCTTTAACTGACTTAATCCGTTGAGCTCAGATCTGTTTGAAGAGGCTAATGCAGACTGAACCTTAGAGGTTAAAAAATTATCGTTTTTTCCAAATGCTTACTATGATTATGAATCGCGCTGATACAAAATTAATATCAAATATCATTTCCCGCTTTATTCTATCAATGTTAAAACTTGAACTTTTGCCTATGGCTGTTATGAAAATATTGAAGCGCCTAATTAATTGGCTCATTTTTTCAACAAAAAGTGCGCGAGCAGGGGCGTAGGAAGATTGATAATTGGGGTGGTTCATATTCATATATTCATGATATAAAGAGTTAAGTTCTTTTGAAATCCATTGTTTTCAAAGGATTATGACATGAATATATTAATATGAGCCCCCCCCCCAATTATCAATCTTCCTACGCCCTTGTGCGCGAGAGTTAAAATCAACAAAATCAACAAAAGTAAAATCAGCAAAAGTAAAATCAACAAAACACAAAACAATGCGTGCCATATCTCAAGCCTTGTTATATCATTTATTGTTTAGAGTATAAAGAAAAATATCACACCGATCAAAGTAGCGCCAAAAGGTAAAAACTTACATGTCCACAGCCCGGTTTTTTAAAGATGAGATTTAAGGATGATTATATGGCCTTCAAAAAACTATCATTGATTTCAAAGTTGGAATAGACAAAAAGAAGAACTTGGTCACAAAAGGAAAGCGCCAACCCTGCAACCATAGATGCACGAACAAACATTTTTATCCTTTTGAAAGCGAAAAAATTAATTTCCGTAGCCTTGTGTTACGTGCATGATTCAACAGCACCAGGACTTGACTCTTACTCAGATGCGCTCACGAGTGTTGCAAAATTGGCACAAGCATTAGAAGCAATGCATTTCTTGAGGTAAATAAGTAATTTTGAGTAACGTAAATTGACACCCGGAAGTAATTAGGAATGCTAGATGAATCAGTTGTTATGAATAGGCTGAAAAATCATGTTGTTGTACGATTGAGTTAGTGCGAACAAAAGTTATAAAACAACGGGTTGTGAGATATTTTGTAAACCCTACCAAATTGCGAAATGAGTAAATCCAAGCAACCCTGTTGTTTTCAACGAATCGAAAACAAACGATCCCAAAAATTGATAGCGAGGAAAAATTCTCAACCAACTTACGTAACCACTTAATCCTAGTTCTAAAGATTGGAAATCAAACACACGATTAGTGTTCTTGGAGAAGTATTTTGAAATTGAACAGGAAGTAGTGCACTTTTGTCTCTCAATGCGCATATTTTATCAGTAATTTTTTTTAAAAGGAATCGATTGTGAACGAGGCGACAAACACGACAAGAAAACAAGAGAACATAAAAAAACAACAAGATAAAATGCTTAAAAATAATGCCCAACTTTACACAGTGAGTGCGACGCACTTGCGTTTACATCACATCCAGATTTAGTGTAAATTGTAATTAGTGAAACACATCCAAAATTTCATATTTTTTTCATCGCTCCAAAACCCTTGGAATTTGCACTGAAAACTACTGCGACATATAAGGCTCGTGCCTTCAAATGATTTGGCGAAGTTGCATTGCTAATCGAATCCTTCCATGTCATTTTGTCAATGAAGTTTTAACGTAATTAGTCAATTCCCCATAATACTTTATTACTGCGCGATGAAGACATGCAGTTATTGTGTTTGAATAAGTATGATCAATACCAAAAATACACGTCAATCTATGAATAGGGCTCTGTCGAGCATTTTCTATTTTAATAAAAATCTGATACAAGAATGATTTGGTATTGCAAAAAAGGGGCATTAAGGTGGTCATCCCATCTCGTTAGCTATCTCAGGAATTTTTCGAAATTCTACAATAAATTTTTAAAGAAAATTGAAGGTTGTCACGTATTTGTCAAATCTTAATAGGATGTTTTTGCATCGGTCATTCTACTTCACAAGCCACAACCTGAAGAGGGGTGACCACCTTTAATAACTCAGTAAATGTTATACATTTATAAAATGAACCATATTATGATTTAACCAAACCATTGAATTCCGCGCAACATTAGATCGTCAGTTGGAAACCTTTGTCGACCAGCTGCATGCACGTAATCAATCAATGCCTACAGTAGCAGAAAGAAAACGGCTTTTGGTAAGTTTGTTAAGTATTGTAAAACTCCTCAGGTAGCTAATAAAAGGTACACAGAAGGAAAAAAATCACCAAGAAGTTTGAGACTCGATGTTGTTTGGCTTATTTACGTATCACAATATTTTTGAAAGAATCTGTTCATTTTTACTAGAAATCTGCGTGTTCAAAAAGACAAGCTGGTGAAGGTCTAGAATTGAGTTGGCGTAATAACGACCAAGGTAAATTGTCACAATTTGAATATCAACAAAAAGCCAAAATACCACGTATAGACGTGGTTGAATTCGATTACGACTTCGATGATTGTGATTGGCAAGACGACACAGAGTTCTACGAAGAAGCTATGAAGTCAGGTATGAAGTTAATCAACTTTAGGAATAAACAAACCGTTCCGGGTGAAGACACAACAGACTAAGAAGCAACATTCTGATTTAACTAGACTGAAGGATACATCAACCCATACACTTTACAATAAAAATGTTTTTTTTAACGCAAGAGAAAAAACTTAATTAGCATTGTTTGCATACTAGCGTATCAAAATAAGATGGATGTTCTTGAAAACAAGTGGGATGACGACGTTGAAGTAGAGGACAGTGAAGACGATTGGATTATGGAATATATTTTCTTGGATGATAAGCCCAAACGAAACGGAAGGAATGAACACGAAACAAGCATATCCGTCAATAATTATGACTTGAAAGGCAAATCTCATTTCGATCATGCAAGACTAAGGTCTAAAATGCAAAAATCCAACGACAAAAATTCATTCAAAAATTGGCCATTCAATTCAGTCTCATTGGAGAATTGTACTCCAAAGACGAATTAATTGCAAGAGTCAGAGAAGCAAAACAGAAAAACAAATCAACCTTTGGAACAAAGCTTAAGCAAATACATCAGCCCCATGAAAGACTGTAAGCAGAAAAGCAAAACTCACGGTTTATCAATATTCCCGCGTATCACGCAACCTGGAAAACGCCCATCGCCACAATCCAAGTTAAACTCGCGAGCAACATCCCGCCCTTTTATTGCCCAACGTTTAAATCGGCTTGAAACAATAAAAGATGATTGTGATACAATTTCTTCCATATCTAACGCAGCATACCATTTTAACGATCCATTTCCATCCACATCCACCAAAAAACATGGACAAACGAATGCACTAAAACCAGATTTCAATTGGACGACGCAACAGCCTTCAAAGAAATGCCCAATGAATCATTCAATGAAATTGGCTTCGACAAGAAATTTTACCACAGCAGATATTGTTGACAGATATAAGGCTGCAAATGTATCAGTGAGCAATGAGATTGTTATTGATGATGAAGAGAGATCTTCCACGAGGATAAAAGAGGAGACGCGTGAAACAGAGAGTAACTCAGACCTAAAGAAGATACATGCTGGCTCAAGACAAAGCGGATATTTCGACATAAATGAAACAAGTCATTCAATGAAATTGGCTTCGATAAGAAATTTTACCACAGCAGATATTGTTGACAGATATAAGGCAGCAAATGGATCAGTGAGCAATGAGATTGTTATTGATGATGAAGAGAGATCTTCCACGAGGATAAAAGAGCAGACACGTGAAAAAGAGAGTAACTCAGACCTAAAGAAGATACATGCTGGCTCAAGACAAAGCGGATATTTCGACATAAATGAAACAAGTCAGGATGAAATTTGTGAGGGGCCACATCAACATGTGAAAAGTAAATTTAATGCAAGGAAGAACCAACTTTTTGACGAGTTCAACGATGTTGAGCCATATATACCTGTACAAAGCAATGAACATATTACGTTCGCTAAGTCCACAGAGAAAACGAAGTCGACGAACGACCCATCCAGCCAAATTACAAATACACCACTCTCTAGATTTTTTCACGCACCACGTAAGAGCAGTTTTGCTTTCCAACAGAAGTCGAGTAAAACTTCAAAAATCATAATCGGGACGCCCGAATCAACTAGATTGAGGTAAACGCAAAAAGAAAAATAAGTTCTTGTCAAATTGTAGGAAAAATACACCCTCCGAGCATCTCATTATTCAAATTGAAAAATTTACTCTGTCCGTAAATAACCGGTCTGATATTTAATTTTCATTCGAATTTAGCGACGAAGAAGAACAAGAGAATCACGATGCATTTAAAAATATATTTAATGACATATTTAATAAGTAAACGACAAACATATTCCAATATAATAACGCTTTGTGTCATTTTCCTTAAATACTACGTTAGATTTTACAATAGTTAACGATCATTTGATGACGTTGGTAGTTCGCGTACGACGAAAATTCATAGAGCCTTTGCATGTTAAATAGCTAAAATAAAATATAATTATCCAAAACGCATTTTACGTATGACATAACTTGTGATTTGTGTACAGTTTACAATTGCAATAAAGGCAAACACAAACATTCGTATTCAAATAAATTATTCTCTATAAGGAAACAAAACCAAATAATTGTATATTTTGCACCTCATTGTGTGTTTCTCAAGCTAGACCACGTGTCGATTTCTATGCCTGCATTCTGATACAAAAATGTAAAAAACCAATTTTGACAGCTCAAAACTCAAGCAACACCCTAAAAATCAACCCTAGAGATCGGCAACTACCTTTTTGTCTTAGGTGGGGGTAAAGGTATAGGTGGCACGCTGATGAATGCTTGTTTTTTTGTAAATGGACGTCGTTGCTCTGTCTGCTTTCCGTGAAGCAATTCATTCTTTGACATTTTTGTCCAATTATCGGGAAACGGCGTGAATTTGGCGGGATAGACACATATTTGGTCAGGTGAAATCAATGACGGAGCAATGGGAGATATACTGAGGGAGGCCATCTTTGTTTTCTTACGACTCGAGTCCTTGGTAGCATTTTTTGGTCGGATTTTGAAATGTATGAGATACAGTTGTACGCATATTTTTCTCACTAGGCTTATCAATATTCATGTCTACGTTTTATGCCATAGTATCACGACTATCCCTGTCTCCTTCCCAGGATGCACCTATGAAGAGACCGACCAAATGTTCGGCAGGGTCGACTACATGCTCGTTTACATGTTTCGATGCGCTATCTGAGGATTTATCTACGAGATCACCAACGTTGCTTACGTGGCTTCGCTCGTGATGGGCCTCTTCTTCCTCTTCCTCCTGCAGCGGAAGTAGTTTGTCTCGCTTTTGGCGCTATTTTTTCAAATGTTCTTTCCACTTGTTGCGTCGCGCACGAGTTACAACAAAAAGGTGGTTAATAGCTGGTGGGATATCACGCAAATCTTGCGACTTATTCTTATTTTCATGCGACGAGAACACAGCAACAGCTTGTTGCTGCATTTTCCGCGTCCTGTTATATTCTTTGTCTAAATCAGACACGCCAACCAAGGAACTGGGTTGATTTACTGAGCCGCTAAAGTCTTTTCCAAAAGGATATCCCCCAGTTTGATTGACCTTGTTTGCCCTTCCTTCTTGGGATGAATGGGGAGAAAGAAGACCAAGACAGCCAACGTTCATTTGATTGACCTCATCATCTTCATCATCGCTCGATGCGTAACCATCTTTCGTTTTTATTTTGAACTCTATATCAAGCGATTGGTTCGCCAGTGGACGAATGTTGTACATGTATTTTTCACGGAGTTCAAGGATTTTGGGATATGGAAATGGCGCCATATTATAGACCATCTATAAAAAATGCATAAAGGAAGAAAACTGTTAGGCCTTTGCTATCAATTAATTATTGTATTAACTATATGGTATACTTATCAGTTCTGATATGTGAATGTTTTGTACAATGAACATCAAAAACAGTACAGTTAGCTGAAAAACAGTTCTGCATATTTAAAGAATGTACGTCAACCAAGATTCAATTTGCGCTTTTGTTTATGGTTCACATCGTTACTTTTTTTGTTGCTGATAGAGACATTATAGATGCAGCACTAACTACACGTTTCTTTTCATTCAAAATTTGAAGAAAATAAGAAGCAAATTGACTGTGTGTCTGCTCTGCCATTCCAGCAAAGTCTTTTTGTCTTAACCACTCGTTGTAATAGTACATACATCCGTAAACGAATCTGGTGTAGTTGAACATTACGTTTTGGCCTTCCACGCTTAGGCCAAGACGTCATTTAAATCACAAGTTTTCAAAATTACTTAAAAACTCTAATTTACAGTTGTTATTATTGTTGGTCTATGTTGCATCATAGAACTAAAATACATGGAACGCTACCTGTAATACAACACCCCAATAATTTTTTGAAGTCGTGATTTTACCCCAGACACGCGTGTGTAGTCAATAAATTATTACTCCGCGAGAGAAGCTCGAAACACTACACACGCGTGTCTTGGGTAAAATTTCGAGTGTTTGATGTAAGACTTGGCTTCAATTATTTGCTTCAGGGAGCGTTCCATTTATCATATTAGTTCAATGTGTTGCATGGGCTGCAATAACAAAATCCGCCATTGTATCAAGCCACAAAATGGCCGTCACGCTGTGATTAACGCACAATGCATCTTGGTTAACACATATCAACCATAAAGTATTATAAGCTGGTCTCTGTATTATTAGCCGTTTTCAATAGCACATAAGGGAATAATTGTTTTTCTAACTATACTCGCCTATACACTATATCAACCAGGAATTGGGTAGAGTAAGTTATGAAATAATTATTACAACATTAATTCATTTGAATAAGAAAAGAATAAAATAACATAATACCGTAAAAT